AAATTATTATTACATTTTCAAAAGTATAAATTTTTTGAACGATTGCGGTCCACCGGGTCTAACAACCGGGTCCCTCCTGATTGCTGGTAAACAGGGGCGTACGTGTGGAGTAAGGACAACACCCTGCCCGGGACTCGATCTCAGGTCTCTCGCTTGTGAGGCGAGGGCTCTAACCACTGAGCTCAAGGACTCTGATTGTGTTCCTTGTGTGCACTGACAGCGATCATCAGACGTGATCATGAAGCCTTACTTGGGACCTTTTTTGTTCATACACTCACTCACACACACTCACACACACATACTCACTCACTCACACACACACTTACACTCACTCACTCACTCACATTCACACACTTATTCGCACACTGAGCCCACGGACGTCTAAAGACAGTTAAACACTTGCACTGAATACAATGATTAATTGACAGTTAAACACTTGCACTGAATACAATGATAATTATAATTCTGAATACAATTATCATCAATCGCCCATGTTTCAGCTGTCAGTGACGTGTAAACAAAATCACCAGTCGGGGTAACAGTATTTTGTGAACATCCTGTACAGCACGGTATACAGCACATGAGCTCCTCCATCCCCAACACCCCATCCTTCCCCCCCTTCCCCACCCCTCATGTTCCTCTTGTTCCCCTTGGGTGACGGTCTAGCTTCTCCAAGAATATATCTACACTGTCTGTTCCTCAGTCTAACTTCCCTCGAGGTGAACTAGTTCCTCCTGCATTCCCTCGTGGATTGCCAGTCACTGACCGGTGGAAACAGCCTACTTAAGTTAACGAATAGCTTCTCCCGGCTAAAGAATCAATGGTTAGCTTGTAACTTGGCCTCGGGGCTCAGGTGACAGGAGCACACAGAAGCATTCTTGCAGGTTGGTAATGTCACCTGATGCTCCGGACTGGATTACACTCTGCCCCGATCGGCACGTCAAAACCCTCTGGGAGGTGCACGGAAAGGGGCCCGAGCTCAACAAAGGCTGCTCAGCATCTCTAATAACAGCAACACACCAACACTCTCGCAGCCCAGCAACCGCAATGAAATAAAAAAGCATCTCGCGCAGGAGCTGTGTTTTGTTTCTGCATATGGGAGTCCTGTAGCTAGGCGGCTAGAGCCCTCGCCTCGCGAGCGAGAGGACCCGGGTTCGAGTCCCGGGCAGGGCAAAACTTTAGGCAAGTTTTGTTACTCCCCACGCCCCTGTTTACCCAGCAGTATGTAGGAACCCGGTTGTTAGTCAATTGGCGGATCGCTTTTCCAGGTGTAATAATTTGTTCAAAAAAANTACTGATCATTTGGTCACTCAATCCACGACTGTCTATGGGACGCTGCTGCGCACAATTCATTTCCATATTTCGCTCACAAAATATAGTCAACTCGCTTTACAGTATATTCTGTGAAGCGCTTTGAGACGTCTCGAAGACATGATAAGGCGCTGTATCAAATGCATGAGCTATTGTAAAAAAGGGGAAGAGAAGGGCGGAAAGGCGGACTAACTTTCGTTATTGATTTGCCTCTTACGGCAATGTGTACATTTCATATTGTGCCTTTCACATCAGGAAGTCGCTATCCTGCATGCACGATGCTGTATAAATGCAAGTTGTTGTTGTAAGAGGGGGATTTGATCTATTGTCAAAGAGAAAGGATATTAAATAATATTCAACAGTGTCCCACAAATGGTCGTGCATTGAGTGACCAAATTATTATTTTTTTAAAGGGATTATTACCCCCGGAAAAGCGATCCGCCAATCAAACTACAACTGGGTTCCTACTTACTGGATGGGAAACACAAGTGTGGGGAGTAAGGAAACAGAGAGAGAGAGAGAGAGCAGGGACCAGGAATTGGTGAATTTAGTTCCAGTGGCTGGTAGGACCAGGGATCCTTCAGGCCGAATGGCTTCATTATGTTCCGCAATCTCAATAATTGCAGGCAATGTGAGCCTGGCTCAAATCAGAAAGTTGTGGGTTCAAGCCCCACATCAGGATTTTGAGCTGGCAGTTCAGGCTGGCACTGCTCCCGCCTGTCCTTCCTATTGCTCCTCCTTTGATCCAAGGTCATATCTGCCTTTTCAGGTGGACGTCACAGATCCCACGCACAGTTCGAAAGAACTGGGAGTTTCTCTCTCCTGGTGTCCTGACCAACAGCCAACAAATAAAATTGGTCACTCACTTCACGGCTGTTTGTAGGACACTGCTATGTGCAACCTGACTGCCGTGTTTGCCTATCAATGCACAGTCACCACACTTTATAGTAAACCCTGTGAAGCGCTTTAAGACATCCTTCTGGCGTGTAAAGCACTATGTATTAGATGCAATGATTCTCAACCTATTTTTCCAAAGGTCACACATTATGCATACACACAAACAAACACAAACACACCCAAACTAAAACATAAAAGGCACACACGCACTAACACACACAGAGCACTGGAATTGCCAAAAAAAACTTTCAGACACTTTTTATTTGTTATATTTCCAAGTTGACTTTCAAATTCACAACTTATCAAAGAGTATTGCTAAACCCCGACCAAGGCAAATAACACGATGCGATATTATTTCCAATCAGTTTATTTTTGGTCAAAAACAAATCTAGATTTTTGCAGACAATTCTTTTAAATAGTTCCTTTTTTTATACTTTAAATTCTAATACATATATAATATATAATAAACATTTTCTGTCACACACATACTGGCCGATTGTGAATTTGCCCCTCCCATGTTAATAATAAAGCCCGGAATCACCTGACATTCACTCCCAGGACCCACAGGGTTGTTCTCTTTCTGGGTCAAGAAGCAACTCCCTATTGCTCCTCCTTTGGGAAGGCAAAGGAAGAGCATCTCTTGGAGATGAGCGGGCTCCAAGGTGACATGCTTGGCAACCCAACGTGGTGATCTCAGCAGTTCAGTCCCAGTTCCCGAGCCAGGAAGGTCCACAGCACTGCTGACAACAGACCAGCCAGCCCGGCTCATCATCGGAACTTGGGAGGGTGATGGGAGAGGGGATTCTTCTCACTCGGCCGCTGTCAAACCCCACAAGCCACAGCCTTAAAGGGTAGGGGTGGTCCTGGTTAGTCAGACACCAGCAGCACCCCCAATGCACTCTCAACTCTCTCCCAACCCATATCAAACAGTGCGTATCCTCTTCCAGACGCAGGGAATTTCCATGTGCAGGTGATAATACAGAGGTGGAACTCTCTCATCTGGTTTGGATACTCTTAATCACGGTGATGAGTTTACATGGGTCAGGGAAACGCTGACCATAGAAAAGAATTAGCGTCAGGACCACAAAGTAGAGCAACAGAACCAAACTATGGACAACAAGGAGGTCAGACCACACACATGGGAACAAGAGGGATTTAATCGTTCAATAGGCAGAGTCTTTTCTGTTTATCCTTTGAAACAGATTTCCGTAAGTAAATGAAAATTCACCCTCCCTCAACTATTATCTCCTGGGGAAAAAAAGATTTTTAAAATAAAATCTACATATAAGATTCAGACCAGGTGAAAAGTGCAGATTCAACCTAAAATTAATGTCGCTTTTAAAAAAGATGCGGTCGTTCAATCCACTGTTGGTCACTCAATGATTGTTTGTGGGACGCTGCTGTGTGCAATTGGCTACGGAGCTTCACCCACAAAATATACAGTCAATTCAATTTATATTATATTCTGTAAAGCGCTTTGAGATGCCTCGAAGGCGTGATGAGGCGCTGTATCAATTATTATTATTATTATTAATATTATAATAAACCAGCAGCCTGTTTTTGTACATAAAAACAAAAAAAAGGCAACTTAGGGGCCCCTTTTCAAAGAAAAATCCCTACCCTTTATATTATTTCATTCCATTCAAAGGATCACATTTAAACGATCGGTCACTACGGGGAAAGGAAAAGTTCAATTTTACATTAGACACTGTAAATTTCAGGCAAATTAACTTTTTTTGGGGGGTGGGGGGTGAATAGCATCGACTGATAAGGCGCTATATTAAATGCAAGGATTATTATTATTATTAATATGTTATTTATCGTGTGACCGTTTATAGATTTTTCAACAGGATCCTTAAATTATTTGCCTCTATAGTGTTCCTGCACTTTAAAGTCAATTCCTCCAAAAGATAACAATAATAATTTGGTCACTCAATCCACGACTGTTTGTGTGGACGCTGTTGTGTGCAATTGGCTGCCGTGTTTCGCCCACACAATATACAGTCAATTCAAATTACAGTATAATGTAATTCCCAAAGAAGGAGCAATAATATATTACTCTTACCCCCTCCGCTCGCCCCCCCCTCTCCACACACAAACACACACTCAGGAAACAAAACGTATCTTTCGAAGCGAGCAGAAAGTTAAGTTTTTCTTACAAAAAGGACCTTTTTGCAGATCATTCGGTTGAAAGCAGTCGTCTTCATTATTCCTTGGTAATTAATAATTCAAGTTTATTTAAAAAATTAGTATCATTGTAATGGTTTTTGGGGGGGAGGGGAGTGGGGGGGGGGGCGGTAGGGAGAACCCCAAAACTTTCCTTTTCAATAAACTTATTTGAATTCCCGAGACATTACTCATTAACTGTTTTCCTTGTAAATGCCATTCTGATAGCTCATAAGTCTCAAAGAAAGAGTAACTTTGCACTCTGAACTCCCATCAATTATTGGGGAGTGGGGGGAAGAGGGGGAGAGGGGGAGAGAGGGGGAAAAGAAGAAACACTGTTTTAAATAAAACAAATCCGAGTGTTGTTGTAATATTTAAATCTGCTCTAAAGTTCCTCAGCTCAGTTTTGCTCAAAGCTACCCAGCGAGTTAAGCTCCGATTACAGCCGGGGTGTAAAAGGCTTTGTAAAAGGGGTGGGAAGAGAGAGGGGGATTGGGGGAGGGAGAGGGGGGAGGAATAATTGTGAAGGTAGATTGAGGGTCTGTTTCGGAGTCCATCGCTGTTTCCCCTCGACTGAACCTCAGTGTCAGGTTTCCTCTCCTGTCCTGTCCACACACCAACCCCCCCCCCCGCCTCTTCTCTCCTCTCCTCAAGCCACTCGGAATTACATGTTTGTATCTACAACCACCCTCTTGGCGCACACCAGGGTGGAGTTGTGGACAGTGTCCCACATCTGCAGTAAACCCGCGGGGCTGAGTTTGTGGATGACCAGCAGGTTCTTGTAGAAGCAAGGGTCTGCGTTCATGGGGCTGACCTTGCGTTTGACTATTCCAAACGTCCTGAAGGCCAGGTGTAGCTGGGGATCTACCCCGATCTTCTGCAGACACATCCCCAGGTACACGTCGTCGATGGGGTAAAGCTGGAGACTCTCGGAAACGGCGAACAAGCGTTTGGCCAAGTGGGAAGACATGATGAACCCGCCACCCCCCGCGTAGGATGGGTAGGGCTTGTCGTACAGTTGTTTAGGGATGAAGTACTTGCTCTGGTGGTTCCTGATGGGCAAAGCCCTGGAGATGATGTCCCCGGCAAACAGGTTGCTGGGCCCCGGCCTCTGGCTGCTGAGAAATTCCAGAACGTTCTCCGTGTTTACGAACACGTCATCGTCCCCCTTGAAGATGAACTGGGTCCTGGGGCAGTAGATGTCAAACCACTTGAGGAAGTTGACCTCTTTGAGGGTCAGGTTGAAGAAGGTGTCGATGAAGTCCCACTGCAGCAGGTCCCCGAACAGCCTGTCCTCGTACTCCAGCAGCTTCTGCAGGTTCTTGTGGTCTTTGCCGATGGCCGGGGTCCCGAGGAGGAACAAGGTCCTCACAGTCTTCCCGAGGAGCAGCTGCTCTCTGCCCCAGGTCCTCCTGACCGCGTCCCTGCGGTCGTGCTGCTCGATCACCGACTTGACCACAATCAGCAGGTCCACGTGGCCCGAGCACTTCTCTGGGTGGTTGAGGAGCATCGGGAAGTATCTGCAGTGTCTGTATAGCACGTATTGCTGGAATCTGGGGTCCAAGCCCCGAAACCAGTCCATCTGCTTCACATCCCAGTTCTCGGAGCAGTTGGTGGTGTGGATGTCCCAGCTGGAAGGGGTGGACGAGTTGAGGGAAAGCCCCGAATCACCCCCCAAACCCAAAGCCAAACCCAAAGCCAAGCCCTCGCCCTGGAGCCGCCCGGAGCTCAGGTTCCCGGTGTTGCTGCTCTTGTAGAAGTTGCTCTCGGCTTCCAACCAAACCGAGTCCAGCCTGTGTCTGCCCAGAGCCTCCTCCACACCCCCAGCCCCCAGCTTCAGCCGCTGGATAACAGCCACCATGGCGAAAATCAGGGATAAACTCAACAAGGTTTTCACCAACTTTCTTTTTCGGAATAAGTACTCCATAGTCACCCAGAGAGAGAGAGAGAGAGGGAGAGGGAGAGCAGGGAATCAACCTCGTCTGTCCTCCACACAAGATCCTCTCTCTTTCTTTCACTCTCTCTCTCTCTCTCTCTTTCTCTCCCTCTCTGCCTCTGTGTCTCTCGGCTTCTCTCTGTCTTTGAGGTAAAGGACCATCAGTTGGTGGAGGAGCCTGGCTGCGCCCAGCAGTGAGGAGAGCGTCCCATCATGGTCTGACCTGCTGATCAAAGACGCACATTTCCAGCCAAATACTCGACTCTTCTTTTCTCTCCTCTCCGCCTCCTCCAGCGGAGACGGGAAACTCAACACTTGAAATCGATCAGGAGCTCAGAGACAGAGCTTCACACACACTGTCTCTCCCTCTCTCGCTCTTTCTCCCCACACACACTGTCTCTTCTTCTCTCGCTCTCTCCACACACACACTGTCTCTCCCTCTCTCCCCACACACACTGTCTCTCCCTCTCTCTCTCCCCACACACACTGTCTCTCTCTCTCTCTCTCCCCACACACAGTCACTCCCCCTCTCTCTCTCCCCACACACAGTCTCCCCCTCTCTCTCTCTCCCCACACACAGTCACTCCCCCTCTCTCTCTCCCCACACACACTGTCTCTCTCTCTCTCTCTCTCCCCACACACACTGTCTCTCTCTCTCTCTCTCTCTCCCCCACACACAGTATCTCTCTCTCTCCCCCACCCCACACACACAGTGTCTCTCCTCAGGAACAACCCCCACAAATGGAGCAGCTCTCACCAGAAAGTGTTTTCAATGAGAAAAAGTCTTTTCTTTCCTTTGTTTTCCTCCTCCCGGAGAGAGAGAGGGAGAGAGACACACATTTACTGCTCACATTGGCTCTGACTCCACGTTTTGTCCTTTCCTCTCTGCGGTTGGACTGATGCCTGGGAGGAGAGAGAGAAAGAGAAAGAGGGAGGGAGGAGGAGAGATGATGGGAGAAGGAGTGGGAGGAGAGAGATGGAGAGAGGGAGGTGGGGGAATGAGAGAGAGAGAGCGAGAGCGAGAGGAGGAGAGTTTTAATCTGAAACCACAATTTCTGAATTTGAAGCAGAAACCAAACTTTTCGCTAAAACGCTGGAAGCCGCGGGAAGAATGTTTATTTGTCCGTAAAGGTTAAGATGGGAGAGAATTGAGGGCGGCTCAGTGTGGGGTAATAATCCCTTAAAAAAGTGATCGGTCACTTCAATCCACGGCTGTTTGCCGGGACGCTGCTGTGCGCTTTTTGCCCACAAAATATACAGTCAATTCACTTTACAGTATAATGAGACATCTCGAAGACGCGATAAGGCGCTGTATCAAATGCAAGGATTATTATTATCATTCAAGTGCTCTGGGACACTATACTGTGTGAGAGGCGCTATATAATAAATGCAAGTAGTTGTTATTACTATTTTCATCCACTGTGCATGGTGGAGTGGAGGAAACTTTGTATTAATGTTGCCGACTTGAACTGTAGGGTCAATCACTTATTCGCGCCATTAGGAGAACCAACAGATTTGATTCTCTTCACTGAATCAAATATTCACTTATTTACATCAAATGTGAATGTAAATAAAAATAATTAGCTGGGATTAGGTAAGAAGAAATAGGTGAGTAGGATTTCAGTCATCAGAACGTGGAAATGCATTGACATCAACGATATCAATGATATCAATAGTACTACGTGGTTTTAGTTGGTTAGACTCCAGTCACACTCTGGGTCCCCCCCCCAAGCTTTGGCTCTTGTCAACCTGCGCCTAATACTTTCCAGACTTAGGTTAACAGGATGCGTCCCTCCAGGGAGAGAGAGAGAGAGAGAGAGAGAGAAAGAGAGCGCATTCCATTCCGACAATCTATCTCTGGGATTTAGTTGGGATGCATTGAAATCTGTTTGGTTTGGAGATGCTTAAGCAACGGTGATGAGTTTCCCCACGTGTCAGACACTCGACTGACCAAAACAAAATCCTCTTCACTGAGTTATCTTTACACACACGCGCGCGCGCACATATATTACTTAAATAGTGCCTACCATTTTAAAAACAAAATATATATTTATTGATTGATATAATAAATGATACAATAATAAATGATATCATAATAATCCTTGTATTTGATACAGCACCTTATCACGTTGTTGAGACGTCTCAAAGCGCTTCACAGAGTATACTGTAAAGTGAAATGACTGCGTATTTTGTGGGCGAAATGCGGCAACCAATTGCGCACAGCAGCGTCCCACAGACAGTTGTGGATTGAGTGGCCAAATTATTATTTTTAAAATTTTATTTTTCAAAGGATTATTATCCCCGGAAAAGTAATCCGCTAATTGACGAACAACCGGGTTCCTACTTACTGGTAGGTAAGCAGAGGCGTGTCTGGAGTACGGATATTTGCTGAAGGTTTCACCTGCCTGGGAATTGAGGCAAGTGATCTAACCATTACATTACAGGATTCCGCAATATTGTGCATTTATGCGTTGCGGAAACCCCATCAAGACTGTTTAATCTGGACAGTCGAGCGTTGGTTGTAAATTTCAGGTCTGCTTTACTATAACACAGTACAGGCAAAGCTTTGTGCACCCCTCCCTTGGCTCAGTGGGACGATGAATTGCATCATGTGGGCCCGAGCTTTCCACAGCTGGAAGAATCCTGGATTCCATCCCTGGTCAGGGTTGAGTTGGCAGTGAGGGAGCTTCAGTGGGATTGGATCAGACTTGAAGATATTAACTAAATGATTGACTTCACACCAGATATTGACTAAAAGCAATAATAAATTGGTCAAGTCAATCCACGACTGTGTGTGCGACGCTGCTGTGCGCAATTGGCTGCCGCATTTCACCCACAAAATATACAGTCAATTTACTTTACAGTGTGAAGCGCTTTGAGACGTCTCAAAGATAAGGGGCTCTATCAAATGCAAGGAATATTATTATTAATAAATGATTAGCTTTACACCAGATATTGACTAAATGATCACACCAGCTGGAGGTAATGGGGGGTGCGGGGCCTCCATAAAAATTGCTCCAAAGCCACTGTCATTCCTTGCCTCCAAACAGCTAAAATAATGGACGCAATCATTCCTCCACCATGTCTCAACGACAACAAATTTCACAGCGCCTTTCATGTTGGGAGGATAGACAGTCAATAATGTGCATCCGAGCTAGTGGTTGGGATCAGGGGGCAGCGGAGGACGGGGAAGGTAGGGGTAGGAGGGTGACCGAAGGTGTGGTCAAAGAGGAAGGTCTTGAGATGTGCCTTGATGGAGGCAAGGGAGGTTTTGAGGTGTGGGGAACGTTGGATGGAGTTCCAAAGGGTGGGGGCAGAGAGGCTGGAGGCCCGACCACCGATGGTGGGGCAGGCCGGGCGGGGGACATAGAGCAGAGTGGATGCGTCAGGGCAACACATGCTGCGCAGAGGGAGCGGACAGGCCGTTATGGGATTAGCAGGTCATAGAGTTTGGGAGGAGCGAGGCCGCGGAGGGCTTTGAAAGCGAGGCTGGGGATTTTTAACTCAATCCTCTGGGGCACGAGGGCGAGGGTGGGGTTGTCAGTGTCCCCCAGGCCTGGCTTGGAAGGGGGCTCAGAGCTAGAGAGCTGGGTTTGAGCATCTTCGGCCTCTGCATATTCCATGTCATTTTCCTATTAATCCAAAAATGATTGCTTATGTATTTTTATTGGCAAGATGATTGGCAGATTTATTGGCAGTTCACATCACGGCGGTTTGCAGGACCTGGCTATGAACAAATTGGCTACTGTATTAGCCTAGAAAAACAGTGAAGAACATTGTGACTTTTCAATGTTATAGGCACAGGGATTATTACAACATATAATAATAACAATAATGACTTGCTCTTGCTAAAGCCTAATTAAGGTCAGTGGTTGCTTTGAAACCAAAACACTAAATCTCAACGCTGAAATTTCAATCAATCATTGAAGGTGGAAAGTGAGGACACAGAGTGAGCAAAAGGCAGGAGGGAATCATATGCAAGTGCTCTGGGGCGTGTGATGTCAGTCATTCCTTCCCACCATTGCGAGGAGCCTTGTGCGCACTATGCCACACTGTCGCCCTCTGGGGGACACGAGCAGAGACACACACACACACACACACACGCGTGTGTGTGGCCGTGAATGGATTGTGAAATTTATCAGTTCACTTATTTTTGAATCTTGCTGATGATGCACATCCCATCCCTGGCTGCGGAGGGCGGGAGCCTGTGTAGTGCAGATGGAATCGTCAATACACGAAGGAGCAATTAATCAACGGGAGACAGATGGTACAGAGGAAGCTGTCGCTGTGCAAGGAAGCTTCTCAACCTGTCCCGCTCTGCCCCCACCCTTTGGAACTCCATCCCACAGTCCCTTCCCTTGCTTCCTTCAAAGCCAGTCTCAGGATCCTCCTCTTCGACCACACCTTCAGTCACTCTCTTATCCCTACCCTCCCCGCCTTCCACCCCTCCCTGATCCAAACCACCAGCTCGGGTTCAAACCCCGACTGTCCAGCGCCCTGGAATGTCTTCCTGACATGAAAGGAGCCATGTAAATATCATTTGTTGTTGTTGCTGAAGCTGTGACAGGTTTGGATTTCAAGAGAGAGGACCCGGGTTCGATTCCTGGACAGTGCAAAATGTTGGGCAAGTTTCCTTACTCCGCACGTCTCTGTTTACCTAAACGTTAGTAGGAACCCGGTTGTTAGTTGATTGACGGATCACTTTTCCGGGGGTAATAATCCCTGCAAAAAAATAATAATTTGGTCACTCAATCCACGACTGTTTGTGGGACACTGCTGTGCGTAACTGTCTGCTGAGTGTCGCCCACAAAATATACACTACACTTTCCAGTGTATCCTGTGAAGCACTTTGAGATGTCTGGAAGACGTGATAAGGTCCTGTATCAAAACCAAGGATTATTATTACATTATAATGACAGTTGCTGCAGGAACTGAAGAGCATTTGTTTGCGGCCTTAGAAAATATTCTTCACAAAACTTTGGGAAAATCTTCCAGGAAGAAGTTGGGGATCAGTCTTACATTGCAATGCATTCTCTTTTCCTTTTCGAATTCAGCAGCAACAACAAATTACATTTGTGCAGCGTCTATATAGTAGGACGTCCCAAGGCACTGACAGTGAAGGATTTTCCTCCGAGCTGGGTTTCGGGAGGTGGAGGGACGGAGACCCACAGTCCAGCCCCCCCCCCCACCACCCGCCCCCCACTAAGCTTAGTGTTTGATTCTCGGCAGGGCAACACATTAGGTTTCATTGCTCCACACACCTCTAGTTACCGAGCAGTGAGTAGGAACCCAGTTGTTAGTTGACTGACAGATCGCTTTTCTGGGGGTAATAATTTTTTTAATGGTCACTCAATCCACGACTGTTTGTGGGACGCTGCTGTGCTCAATTGGCTGCCGCGTTTCGCCCACAAAATATACGGTCAATTCACTTTCTAGTATATTCGGTGAAGGGCTTGGAGATGTTTTTGAGACGTCTCAAAGTCATGGTAAGGCGCTATATCAAATGCAAGGATTATTATTATCATTTTGAAGAAATATTATTATTATTTTGGCGTTAATTCAAACCGACTTTAAGAATTTGATACAATTTTGCACCATCTTAAATTTTAAGACCGTTGTGGCAAGATGACTAGGGAGTTTCACACGACCTGGGTACGTGGGATGTGGCGTCACACCAGTCCTTGTCAGGCTCCACTGACTCGCAGTTATTGAACGGATTGGCTTCCGAATCCTCTCACTCGTTTTCAAATCGCTTCACAAATGCCCTCACACCGCCCTACCTCTCCGATCTGCTTACCCCCCACCCCACCACCCGCTACCTCCTGTTCGTCCCTCGCCCCCTCCGCTCTACCATCCGCTGCCCCGCTTTCAGCCCCGAAACTCTGGAACTCTCTCCCCCAATCCCTCCACTTGCCCTGTCCCTCCCCACCTTCAAATCCCACCGAAAGACCTTCCTTTTTGATAGTGGTCACCTCCCCCCTCCCTCTCCCCCTGACTCGGGGTCAACTCCACCACTGTCAAGCGCTCCAGGACACTACCCCGCTTGAAGGGTGCCAAATAAATGCAAGTTGTTGTGGTCAATAGGCCTTTATTATATAGTACGTAACCACATCACCCCCTGTAGGTTAGTTGTACTCAGAAAATAAACTTTGCTTCCAACATTGAATTACTGCCGCAAATCTGTCTACACACAAATTTGTAGTGTATACAGCAATATACAGTTTAACACTTCCCTTTCACTATTATGTACACATTGGATGTTCCTTGCGCTCTGTCAATATATTCCAGCGATCACAATTCTGGAATCTAACTCTTAAAACACAGAATCGATTTTAAAAATAGTAATAATAATCCTTACATTTGAGATAATGTCGGTGAGACGTCTCAAAGCGCTTCACAGAGTATATTGTAAATTGACTCTGTATTTTGTGGGCGGAACGCGGCAGCCAATTGCACACAGCAGTGTCCCACGAACAGTCGTGGATTAAGTGACCCCATTTTTTTTTAAGCGATTATTACCCCTGGGAGAAGTGATCCGCCCATCGACTAACAACCAGGTTCCTACCGCTAGTTAAACTGAAGCGTATGAGGAAACTTGCCTAAGGTGTCCCTGCCCAGGAATCGCACCTGCTTACCTGACTTCTCGTTTGTAAGGCAAGCAGGCTGTATTACTGGGTTCCTCAATTGAGGAGTCTGGAAACACAGAGGCAGGTTTTCCATGACTGAGCGCACCACTGATCCCTGCTCTGGGCCACACAAGTACTCAGTTACCTGCGAGGTCAACTCAGTACAAGGGCAGAGGAGTTACTAGGAAGGAGCAAGACCGCGGAAAGGTTTCAAAAGGTGAGGACAAGGATCTTGAACTCAATCCTCTGGGGAGCCAGTGGAGCCGGGCGAGGGGGGCGGTGATCGGTTCATGGAGCTTAGTGCGGGAGAGGATACGAGCTGCAGAGTTCTGAATAATCTACAGCCTGTAGAGGGAAGAGTGGGAAGTCCAACAAGCAGAGCGTTAGCGTTGCCATACCCAGACTTAATGAAGGCATGGATGAGGGTCTCATGACGGCTCTCTTGACATTCCAGAAATCCTTAGTAATTATATTCCCACGAGTATTAGGTTTGTGAATTTTTTTTTAGAAAAATACAAAGACTCCATTCTCTTTAAAGATCTTTTTATTGCAGTATTTACAGAACATCATCGAAACTGTGAGCTAAGATTATAAACAAAACAAAAAGTTATTTAGTTTAACGTGTACATGAAATAATTTGTGTCCCAATGACACTGACATTCATAGGAACATGAAACAAATCCAGTAATTCCTAACCTCATTCAGATTGATAACTTCAGGTCCTAGCTCCACTCAAACCCTATTATAGCTCAATTCATTCTAACCTTTTTTTCAAAAAAAACCCAAATCTTTCCCAGTTCAAGAATTGTTAAAAGGTGGAGATTTAAAATCAACTTTAATTGTCCATTCCCTACTTTCACATCAGTTTTGATTGTGTTTCTTTCTCTCGTCTGTTAAATTTATTTGTTAGGTCAGGGATGTGGGGCAAGGGCGGGTAATTGGTATTGAGGTACAGATCAACCATGATCTGTTAGAATACGAAACAGGCTCAAGGGGCTGAATGGCCTATTCCTATTCCTAAGTTGGATGTGTTTCCAAACTAAAAATGCGCTAGCACTCAGCTGTTATAGCTTTTATAGATCGTGGCAGCTCTGAGCAGGAGAGAAGACAGACAGGAGGAAAAAGATGTTGGGAGTATTTTTGCATCAGAGCAGCAAACTTGACGATCCGGAAATCCTCAGTATTATCCCAAACAAGAAGTTTGCCGGAGCCAAGCTGGCATTGCCCTCTCTGATGAGTGTCAAACTGGCAGTGAAGGGAACCTCCGCCATGTGTTGAAAGATCAACTGTGACAGCATAGACACTGATCTGTGCAGAGTGGGGAGCAGATGGAAGCAAACCTTGCAGTCAAATGATAACCACCAAGATGTTGGAAATGGCCGTGCAGTTTATTCACAAGCCAAATATGGAAATAACAGAAAATATTCTGCTTTTGGTCTGGTCCAGCTAGGAGAATTTTCTCTTCAGGGCTTTGGCTTGTAGGGGTAACAGGAGGTGAGTGCGAAGAATTCCTGCCCCCCCCCCCCCCCCCAATGACTGGTCTGTCTGTCCCTCATAGGTGACCATGACAGCTGAACTGTCTTCAAATGTTTTGGAAAACTGCGGACCGGCCTGGTTCAGGAACTGGATGACCAGCACAGAGGCTCAAGAGAAAGCACAAGAATGCAACATATTCCAATATTTAACAATATTTGAAATACCTTACAGTGGCAGTTATATAAACTCTGTAACATTGTTAAAGGCAGGAAATTATCCAAACTCTCTGCCAAATCTATTCTGGCTGACTGAGAACATCACCATCTGTAACTGATAGTCTTCAATATGAAGGTGGTGCTTTGATGCTTCTGCTCCAGAATTTACAAAGCAAACTTTTTTTTTNAATTAATAAATGTAGTTAATCACAGCTACTGTGTCCCAGAGAGCAGCAGTGATTTCAATGCTACGTTTATAATAGGAGTAACATTCAGAATACTTCTCATAGCTACCTTTAGAATAGTTCCCTTTGCACTACTTTAACTGTGCAAATTGGTCACTTGTGTTTCTGGTCAGTCAATAAATAAATTGGAGTAATTCAAAACAGAGCAATGGTGATTTGTTTTTCTTTCAGAAGGCACTCAATAACCGAATTGTGTTTTGCAGGACCTTAAGCTTTCACTCATCTGCACTGAATTATTGGTCTCAGCCAGGGGTTGTTCTCCTTGGCCTTGACCTGGAGAGAAGCAGCCATGATCCAGAGATCCAGCTCTTGACTGTAATGCCCCCTCAACCCTCTTGATATCCTGCTGATACTCACTGAGTGGGCTCACACACCAACCACGGCCACTGGCGGTAAGGTTCCCGAGGGTGTCAATCCGTGCGTCCTTCCCTCCTGCAGCACCAGAAGCAGAAGGGGAGAAAATTGGCAAAAGTGAAGTGTCCGCCCACTGGACAATAAAAGTGCTGTGTATTTATTAGCTTTTACACAATTTATTATTGTAGACATTGGTGGCAGACACTGGCAAATGGCGCTCGCTGGCCAACCATTCCTGAACATGGGAGAACATGGCTTTGAAACCGATTTCCTGCATGGTGATGTGTCCACCTCAGTAATGCCTTTGCAGGGAAACTCAATCCAGACATTTCTCCACAGTTATTCCTACTCACGATGAGAATGGCAGAGCTGGATGGCTTCTTGAAGGTAAGGGAAAAGAGGGGTGGGAGAGAGAGAGAGAGAAAGAAAAATAATAAATATCTTAAAGAAGGAATAAATATTTATTGTGAGAGGTTTGCTTTAGAGAACGTCTGAGGAAGAGTTGCCTTTGCTTTTCTTGCGTTTGGTTTTGGCAGAAGGGGCTCGGATCTCCAGCGACTCCAAGCGATACGGTCTGGGCTGCGGCATCTCGGAAGCCTGGGTGGGAGACACTGTGGCTCGGCTGGATATGGTGTGGGTGGAGGATCCGTTGGTCAGGGTCACGTTGTGCACTGCGACAGGAGAGAGGCAGGAACATTTTTAAGTTATGATGAACCTTACGTTAGGCCTCAGCTTGAGACTGTGTTCAGTTCTGGGTCCAAACTTTAGGAAGGATGTCAACAACAACAACAACAACAACAAGATTCCATTTATAGAGCGCCTTTCACGTCGGGAGGACGTCCCAAGGCGCTGGCGATGTCAAAGCATTTGAGAGGGTGCAAAGGAGATTTACCAGAATGAGGGCCTTCAGTTATCAGGAGAGGTAGAGAAGTTGGGATTATTTTCCTTGGAGCAGAGAAGGTTAAGAGGAGACTTAATAGAAGTTTTCAAAATCTTGAGGGGATTCGATAGGGTGAACAGGAGAAACTATTCCCACTGGCGGGTGGGTCGGTAACCCGAGGACACCGATTTAAAATAGTTGTTAAAAGAAACAGAGGGGAGGCGAGGAGAAATGTTTTCACACAGCGAGTTGTTGGGGTCGGGAATGCATTGCCTGATTGGGTGATGGAAGCTGATTCGATAACAAATTTTAAGAGTAGATAAGTATTTGGGGAGAACAAGTTTGCAGGGCTTTGGGGAGAGAGTGGGGGAGTGGGGTTGATTTGGAAGCTCTTTTCAAAGAGCCGCCACAGACACGATGGACCGAATGGCCTCCTTCTGTGCTGTATAATTGTATGATTCTATGAAACAAATAATCAATCCAAGTGAGAAAAGTCTTTATGGTTTTCCACAATGAATCAGTCATACCAGAGAGCCACTCAATAAATAATAATAATCCTGGCATTTGATATAGCGCTTTATCACTTCTTCGAGACGTCTCAAATCGCTGCACAGAATATACTGTAAAGTGAACTGATTGTATATTTTGTGGGTGAAACGCAGCAGCCAATTGCGCACAGCAGCGTCCCACAAACAATCGTGGATCGAGTGACCGATTTAGTTATTTATTTATTTTGAAGGGATTATTACCCCTGTAAAAGCGATCCACCAATCGAATAACAACTGGGTTCCTATTTACTGCTAGATAAACTGAGGGTTGTGGAGTAAGGAAACCGCCTAATGTTTCGCCCTGCCTGGGAATGAAACCCAGGTCCTCTCAATTGCGAGGTGCGGGCTCTAACCACTGAGCAACAAGAATAAATGGAGGCAAAAGTGCAATCGAAGTCTCCTCCGAAGGATGAGACGTCCATCAATGCCGCCCTTTCCCAGTACTGCAATGCAGTGTCATTTTACACAGTGTCTTGATGTGAGACTTGAACCCCCACCATCTGACCCAGAGTTCTACCCACTGAGCCAGACTGACATTTGGGTGTCAAAAGGCCAAATATCACGTGAACGTAAAACCGTGGTATGTCTGTTAGCCACACCTTCATGTTGGAGCCCATCACTGAGATGTCCTGTCCCAATGAGTGTGAATATCCGAACCGCTGCCCAGCGCTGATGTGACTTACCCAGGCTGCGCGCCGGGTCTGTGTTCAGGATTTGAGTGGCACGTTTAGATTTGAAGTAGTTGTTGGCGATATTCTCGCTGTCGCTGCGGTTCAGCATTTGTCGATAGCGGTCCTCCTCCTACAGGACAAACACAACAACAACTTGCACTTATACAGCGCCCACCACACACACAGCACCAAGCCCCGCCCACCACACACACAGCACCAAGCCCCGCCCACCCCACACACAGGACCAAGCCCCGCCCACCACACACATAGGACCAAGCCCCGCCCACCACACACAGCACCAAGCCCCGCCCACCCCACACACAGGACCAAGCCCCGCCCACCCCACACACAGGACCAAGCCCCGCCCACCCCCCCCACACACAGGACCAAGCCCCGCCCACCCCCCACACACACAGGACCAAGCCCCGCCCACCCCACACACAGCACCAAGCCCCGCCCACCATACACAGGACCAAGCCCCGCCCACCCCACACACAGCACCAAGCCCCGCCCACCACACACACAGCACCAAGCCCCGCCCACCCACACTCAGGACCAAGCCCCGCCCACCACACACACAGCACCAAGCCCCGCCCACCACACACAGCACCAAGCCCCGCCCACCCCACACACAGGACCAAGCCCCGCCCACCCCACCCAGGACCAAGCCCCGCCCACCACACACACACACAGGACCAAGCCCCGCCCACCCCACACACAGGACCAAGCCCCGCCCACCCCACACACAGCACCAAGCCCCGCCCACCCACACATCACCAAGCCCCGCCCACCCACACTCAGGACCAAGCCCCGCCCCCCCACACACAGGACCAAGCCCCGCCCACCCACACACAGGACCAAGCCCCGCCCACCACACACAGCACCAAGCCCCGCCCACCCCACACACAGGACCAAGCCCCGCCCACCCCACGCTCAGGACCAAGCCCCGCCCACCACACACACACACAGGACCAAGCCCCGCCCACCCCACACACACACAGGATCAAGCCCCGCCCACCCCCCACACAGCACCAAGCCCCGCCCACCACACACAGGACCAAGCCCCGCCCACCCCACACACAGCACCAAGCCCCGCCCACCGCACACACAGGACCAAGCCCCGCCGACCCCACACAGCACCAAGCCCTGCCCACCCCACACAGCACCAAGCCCCGCCCACCCCACACAGCGCCAAGCCCCGCCCACCCCACACAGCACCAAGCCCCGCCCACCCCACACAGCACCAAGCCCCGCCCACCCCACACAGCACCAAGCCCTGCCCACCCCACACAGCACCAAGCCCCGCCCACCACACACAGGATCAAGCCCCGCCCACCACACACAGGACCAAGCCCCGCCCACCCCACACAGTCAGAGCCAAACACTGGGTTCTAACTCGCTCTTACAATGTCAAGATTCATTCAGGAACCAACAGACAGTGACACTCCCTCCCTCCACCACCTGTCCTGAAGCCATTTCGCTGTATCGTGACTTTAGCAAAACTCAAATATCTCTAACCATTAGTCCGATCTGCACATCAGAAGATGAATCGTGTGTCCCAGCTTCAGGGCGTCAGTATTTGGGGGTGGGGGCTGTGGCCCTTGCCAAACATATCCAGGTAATTCTCTTTACAAATAGTGCCATGAGATGTTTAACGGGACCTTAGTTTAACATCCCATCTGAAGTACGGCACTGATGACAATATAGCATTCCCTCTGCAATGCACTGAGGAATCAGTTTGGTCTATGAGCTCAAAGTCCCAACATGGCATTTGATCCCTGAACCGTCTGATTCAGGAGATGAGAATGTTAGCAACTGAGCCAGGCTGTCACCTGGCAATTCAATCTCGGTCACAGTAAATGTTACTTTCTTCTCATAGCTTGCGTGCAGTGTGGATGGAAGCATATATACAGCACTTACCATCGGGTACTCAGTAATGTCACCAGAAGAGATCCTTGACCCTGGCTTACTCGATGCCACACTGGTTCCAGCTGAAAAAAAATTGCACTATTTATGTCAATGTTTATAATAAGAATAATCCTTGCATTGTGATATAGCGCCTTATCACGTCTTCGAGGTGTCTCAAAGCGCTTCACAGGATATACTGTAAAGTGAATTGACTGTATATTTTGCGGACAAAAAAGTTACGCCTATCAACTAAGAACCGGGTTCCTACTTACTGCTATGTAAACAGAGACGTGTGGAGTAAGGAAACTTGACCAACTTTTCACCCTGCCCGGGAATCAAATTGCGAGGTGAGTGCTTTAACCACTAAGCTACAGGACTCCATAATATTTGATGAAGTTTAACCCTAACTTTGAACCCACTTCAACAACATGCTCTTACATACACTTCATTTAACATGGGATGCATGTCCCATCCAGGGATTAGAGCTTTCAGCTAAGAACAGGACTTGAGAAATTAGGGCTTTAATCATTTTAGATGAGTAGGTTAAACGCTGGGCTGATAAGAGTTCTTGACCGACCCCAGGACATCACCTGAACAGGTAAACATTACTTAATGTCTCAACAAAGTTCGGCACTTACTACAATCCAGTACACCCCAAGCTTTGGATTGGGAAGTTAAAGTCACAACAACAAATTATACAGTGCCTTTCACATCAGGAGGACACCCCAAAGTGCTGGACAATGAGGGGTTTACACCTGAGCTACAAGTGAAGATAGAGAGGGCTGGAGGGTGGACCAAAGGCATGGTGGAACAGGAAGGATGCAAGGGAGGGGGGAGGTGAGGCAACCTTTCTGCCCCCACCCTCTGGAACGAGCGGGGGCCTCCTTCAATACCCACTCCAGAGGGTGGGGTCAGAAACACTGAAGGCTCGATCACTGATGGTGAAGCAGGCAGGGAGAGAGACATGAAGCAGGCCAGTGCCTACAGCGTTATGACTTATCTGCAGCTTGTTGAGGGACAAGTTGGGAAGTCCAGCGAACAGTGAGTTAGCGGAGTCAAACCTGGATGTCATGAAAGCGTGGATGAGGGTTTCGGCGATTTGAGGGGAGAGATAGTGGCAGAGCCAGTGGATGTTACGGAGATGGGGGAAGGCAGAACGGATCATGGCACGGATGGCGTTTAAAGGACAGCTGGGGGTTAACAAGACCCCCGAGGTTCCGTACAGGCTTAGTGAGGTGGAGAGTGCATGCATGAATACTCACAACCACCTGACTCCGAGGTGAGCGTGCTACCGACTGAGCCAGGCTGACACACACATGAGTATGAGTCGGTGTTACAAGTGAATATTGTGTCTTGTTTAGCAGTGAGGTTACCTTTATATCTAGAGGTTTTTAATCTGAAAATATGCGCAGGTATTTGAGAAAGTCAGTGTTTCCAGGATGGTTTCAAAGGAAATCGCTGGCCACTGAAACCCACCCTGATCACTCTATCCACACGGTCGCCAAATCTCTCTGTTTCTGTACACTTGTGACGATTGTACATTTCCCATTCCTTTTTCTTCCCCCACCCCCACCCACCCGCTGCACGATTACTGTAACCCGTCGTAAGAACAACAATTTACATTTGTATAGCGCCTTTCATGTTAGGAGGATGTCTCAAGATGCTGGGTACCACTCCTGCAATCACTGTACACTTCCTCTCCCTCTGTTGCTATACCCTTCACAGTCACTGTATACCCCCCACCACTCACCCCCGCCCCCCCACTTGTTACTGTATCCCCCGCATTCCCCTCACAATTGGTCACTGAACCCATGTGGCCACTCACCAGAAGGCAGAGTAATCTTTTGAATGAGTGTTTCTGGCAGCTTCCAGCAGCTGCCCTCCTCGTCCCACACACATTCCCGCTTGACTTTGTCGATGTTGCTGTAGTTGCAGTCCCGGCGGATGAGGGGCTGGATCCGGTCGAGGACCTGGTAGAGCAGGATGGCCTCCCGCTCCTGCTTGCGGATGGTGGACAGATAGTCGATCCGCTCAAATTCAAACTCGGACTGGAGGTCGCAAATCTCGATCTCTGCTACCTTCAGCTTAAGAAAAAAAGAAGAGATTTTAGCCAAACTGAATTCTAAAGTCAAAAGGCAAAATACTACAGATGCTGGAAATCTGAAATAAAAACAGAAGTGGCTGTGAACACTCAGCGGATCAGGGGCATCCAGGGGGACACAGCAACAAGTGAGGGGATGTGGGGAATACAATAACAAGTGGGGGGATGCGGGGAATACAGTATCTATGGAGAGAGGAAAGTGGGTTAACGTTTCACCCACTTTCCTCCCTATACAGAAGCTGCCTGACCTGCTGAGTATTCCTAGCGACTTCTGTTTGAATTCTAAAGTCTCCAGACACGCTAGAATTCGATACCTTACTCAATACAGTCACGATGAAGTCTACAACAAAAGTGCTCACAATTTAAACTCAAAAGGGGGAAGCTTAGATTGAACTACTTTACGTAGAGAGTGGAAATTTGCTTAGGGAGGTGGTGAGAGTGAAGACTGTGGATTGTTTCAAGAGCTGGATCTGGATAAATTGTTTTTCTAATGTCCCCTTGAATTCTTCTCCTGATTATCTACACAGTCTATTCTGTGAAGCGCTTTGAGATGTCGAGAAGACGTGAAAAGCACTATATCAAATGCAAGGATTAATATTATTATTATTGTTTCCTCTTCCTTACTGATCCGCCAACCTGTGGAAATAATCCCTATTGAAACCCTCAACAATTTAAAAAACTACTCGATCGCCCTTTAACCTTTTGGCTCTCGTGAGAAAAGCTTGAATGAGTCACGTCTATATACACAATCCAAATCCCTAGTCCCTAGTCAGTCTACACAGGAGTCCTGTAGCTCAGTAGTTGGAGCACTCGCCTCGCAAACGAGAGGGCAAAACGATGGGCAAGTTTCCTTACTCCACACGCCTGTTTACCGCGCAGTAAGTAGGAACCCGGTTGTTAGTCGATTGGCGGATTGCTTTCCGGGGGTAATAATCACTTCAAAAAGAAATAATAATTTGGTCACTCAATCCATGACTGTTTGTGGGACGATGCTGTGCACAATTGGCTGCCGTGTTTTGCTCACAAAATACAGTCAATGCACTTTACAGTGTATTCTGTGAAGCGCTTTGAGGCGTCTCAATGGCGTGATAAGGCGCAATATCAAATGCAATGATTATTAATGCTAACATCCCAGTGAACCTGCAGTGCCTTTGCTTATACATACCCAAGTAATGAGATGCTCAAAAGTGGACATACTGCTAAGGAATTACAATGAAAGTGTCCACTCTGGCTGGAGTGAATGCATCTCTCACCGTACCTTCTTCTGCAGCTCCTCGATCTGCCGGCTCTTCCCTCGCACCTCATCCTGGATGGACTCGTACACATTGTACAAGACGCTGTGGTCATCCCGGTCACTGTGCCTCAGGGCCTCCGCCAGCTGTTTTTTCCGTTCGTCTGCGTACTTCTTGCGCCGTTTCCGCTTCTCCTTCAGCTCAGCATTCTTGGCCTGTTCCCCACCCACCACTGCATTCTCCAGCATCTTCAGTCTGTGGTGAACAGAGGGGAGGGAGCCTCTCACTGAAAGGTTGTTCTCACAACAACAAATTCCGTTCACAGCGCCTTTCATGTCGGGAGGATGTCCTAAGGTGCTGGACATTCAGGGATTTAGACCCGAGCTAGGGTTTGGGATCAGGAGGTGGGAGGACAAGGAGGTTAGGGGTAGGAGAGTGACCGAAGATGCGGTCGAAGAGTAGGGTCTTGATGTGCCTTGAAGGAGGCGAGGGAGAGAGCGAGGCGAAGGGATTGTGGGATGCAATTCCAAATGGGCAGAGAGGTTGAAGGCCTGACTGCCAATGGTGGGGTGGGCCAGGCGGGGGACATGGAGCACCCTGGAGCCCGCCAAGCGGGGGGTGTAGACAGGTTGATATGGTGCTAGCAGGTCACAGAGGTAGGAAGAAGCCAATCCGTGGGTATCTTTGAAGATGAGCTCGAGGATCTTGAACTGACTGAAAGGAAGCTGATTCCTCCCCTCATAGATTGGTGGAAACCAACCTTGCATTCTCCCACCCAGAAAAGCAGTTAATCCTGTATCCATTAATTCCCCACCTCCCCCTAACCAGTGGATAACCCAGTTGGACCAAAGCAGCTTTCCCAATGGCTGGGTGGGTAAAGCATTTGGCTACACAGACCACAAGCTCACAGGATCCACTCCTCACTCTGTGCTGTTAATGATATCAGCGGAGGGAGCAGCCAGGGCTTCAGTTGAATTCCTCCTGAGGCCTAGAGAGCCAAATCAGCCACGGGTTCCTACTCCTGATCGTTCAGAGATGCCTTTGCTAAACAGGCAAGCGTGAGCAGTCATCGAACAAAGACGCAGTTGAGCTCAGCTGCAGTTTCCACCCTAGCTTATTCCTCTGACCTGCAGGAGGCAGGTAAGAGCCTGTGGAAGCTTGGAGAGGAGATCAAACAAACCAGGATTTAGTGAGGAGATAAGACAAAAGTGGGCATTATTTAAAGAACCTTAGCCCGTTCATTCTTCTGATCAAAAAAAGGGCAAAATAAATTCTGGACACAAGGAGCAGCTCTCTGCACTGATAAGTTCTGTTGTGACCTTAGAAAGAAATGTTTCCTTAATATACTGATAAATCCAAGCACATGGCTGGAACTCTCTACCAAAAGGCTGTGGATGCATAATTCATTCACATTCACAAGACTAAGGTGGATAAATATTTGTTAGGTCAGGGTATCAGGGGATATGGGGCAAAGGGTGGGTAATTGGAGTTGTGGTACAGATCAGCCACAATCTTATAGAATGGTGGAACAGGCTCGAGGGGCAGAATGGCCTTCTCCTGTTCCCGTGGAACTGGTCAGTGTTTGCAAACCTTGCAATGACCTCCTCCTGATCCAAGGCGACGGGTGACGTGGTGGCTGGTGAGTTGTTGGCTGTGACTTGTTCCCTGGGGATGGTGAGGTTTAACTGGGCATCCTCGATGGTCAAGCCTCCCTTCTCTGTGCTGCTGATGTGCTGAACTATCTGAGCCTCCAGCTCATCCAACTTGAAGAAAAATCACAAGAGAAACGAGCAATTAAAGAGACAACAACAACATTTGTTAAGCGCCTGACCTTTGGGAGGATGTCCCAAGGCAGGACCCGATCGTGGGGGGCAGGGTCGGGATGAGGGAGAGCAGAGGGGCTAGGAGGGCGGCCGAAGGCACGGTCAAAAAGGAGAGTCTTGAGTCATGCCTTGAATGAGGCAAGAGAGGGAGTAAGGCGAAGGGGATGTGGGATGGAGTTCCAGAGGGTGGGGGCAGAGAGGTGGAAAGCCCGGCTGATGGTGGGGAGGGACGGTTGGGAGACGTTGGAGCAGGGCGGAGCCTGCTGAGTTCGGGAGCGCACAGGTTGATAGGGGGTCAGCAGGTCAGAGAGGTAAGAAGGGGCAGGCTGTGGAGGGCCTTGAAAGTAAGGACCAGGATTTTGAACTCTATCCTCTGAGGGATGGGGAGCTGGGCGAGGGTGGGGGTGATGGGGTCACGGAGCCTGGTAAGGAGAGGACACGACATTCAGAGTTCTGGATGATCTGCAGCTTTTGGATGGAAGAGTTGAGGAGAACTACAAGGAGGGAGTTTCTGTATCGAGTCTTGAGGTGCCTCACTGACGGGTGGGCAGAGCGGGTCATGGCACGGATATGGGGGAGAAAGGACAGTTGAGGGTCGAACAAGATGCCCAGGTTCCTGACTGGCTTGGTGAGGTGCAGTATGCAACCCTGGATGCTAATCCTGCCAGTGCCTGAGGTGCGGAGACTCTGGTGCGAGCCAATCAGGAAAGCCTCAGTCTTGCTGACATTCAGCTGTAGAAATCTGGCTCTCATCCAGGACTTGATGTCAGACAGACGTTCTGTCAGGACATCAGCTGTCCAGGAATCGAGGGTGGAGGCAGAGAGATAGAGTTGGGTGGCATCCACGTACATGTGGAAGTTGACTCCATGTCTGTGGATGATGTCACCAAGGGGGCACCTGTACAAGTTGAATGGGAGGACTGCACTGGAGGAGAAACTGTTGGCGGAAAAAAATTGGAGACAGCGTGAGAGATAAGACCTGAACATTCAAGGACAGAACCTTGAAGTTTGAGGTGAGAAGAGAGGTGGTGGAGGAGGATGAAGTGGTCCACAGTATCAAAGGCAGCAGAGAGGACGAGGAGGACGCAGAGGCAGAGGGAGCTGTGGTCACAGATAGACAGGATGTCATTTGTCACCTCAACCAGAGCAATTTCTGTGCTGTGAGCAGCACGGAAACCTGATTTGAGGGGCTCGTGAAGGCAGTGGTAGGAGAGGAATGAGCGAAGTTGGGAAGCAACGACTCTTTCAAGGACCTTTGAAAGAAAAGGGAGATTGGAGATGGGCCGGTAGTTAGAAAGCATAGCTGGGTCCAGGTTTTTTCAGGATGAGGATGATTGCAGCTGTTTTTAGGGGGATGGGAACAGTGCCAGTTGATAGAACGAGTAGAGGGGTGAGGAGAAGGGTGGGGATGGGGTCAAGTGAGCAGGTGGTATGTTTCATGCTGGATATGGTGGTGATGAGAGAGAGATAGGGTTGAAAATGTGAAGGGAGGGATCGGTAGGGGTCGGAGTGTCAGGGGAGATGGGGAGGGAGTGGCGGCTGGGAGGACAAAGGCAGCTGAACGGATCCCCTCAATTTTGGACTCAAAGAAATCCAGCATCTTCTCACAGTCAGAGCTTGAGAGAATGGGCGAGGCATGGGAGGGTGGATGGAGGATCCAGTTGGTGGTGGAGAATAGGAGCCTGGGGTTATCCTTCACCTCCAAGATTATCTAGAAGTAGAAGGACAATTTTCCAGAGGAGAGGGCGGAGCGGTATGTTTTGATGTGGTCCAGCTAGATCTGCCGATGGACGTAAGGTCAGACGTGAGCCAGGTGTGTTCGGCGGCACACACCTGACCCTTGAGGGAGCGGAGATGGCTGGTGTACCAGGGAGAGGTTCATGAGTAGGAAGCGGTTCGGGAGGTGAGGGGGCAAGAGCATCAAGAGTGGTGGAGAGGGAGTTGTGGAGGAGGGTGCGCGAGGAGGATAAATCAGCGCGGGAGGTGGCCAGAGGGGGAGGAGTTCAGATATCTCCAGGGCAGTGGAGAGGGATTGCAGGGAGATTTTTTTCCTGGGGTGGCAGGCGATGGATGTGGGTTTGGTGGTGGGGAGAGGAATTGAGGACAGGGATTAGGAGATGCAATGGTGACTGGAGATGGCTTTATTTGTGAAAGTGAGGTCCGAGACACTGAGGTCCCAGGTAATCACCAGTCGAATGGGTGGCAGTGTGGATGTGCAGGGAAAGGTTGGGGGAGAGGAGAGAGGAGAAGTCCAAGGATATAGAGCAGGAGGGGGTGAACTGAAGGTTGTAAGACAAGTTACAACAACAAAAAAATGTTACCAGACTTCCAGGATGTAAATATGAAGAGGAAGAAAAGAATTGCATTTTTATTCTTAAAGCAATATACAGTAATTTGTGGAGTCTTGTAGCGTATTGCATAGAGCACTCGCCTCGCAAGCAAGAGTTCAATTCCCGGGCAGGGCAAAACCTTAGGCAAGTTTCCTTATTCCACACGCCTCTGTTTACATAGCAGTAAGTAGGAACCGGTTGTAAGTCGATTGGTGGATTGCTTTTCCAGGGATAATCATCCTTTCAAAATAAATAAATATTTTGTCACTCAATTCATGACTGTTTGTGGGACATGGCTTTGCTGCTGCATTTTGCCCACAAAATATACAGTCAATTCACTTTACAGTAAATTTTGTGAAGCTCTTTGAGACGTCTCAAAGTGTTGATAAGGCGCTATATCAAATACAAGGATTATTATTACTATCAAACACAGTAACTTTATTTCTATGCGAATATCACAGCCAGTTGCACACGCAAGGTCACGCAAGAGGTATCTAAGCATTGTTCACTAGGGCACAGGTAGAAACTCCTTACTTTTTATTCCCAGTTATATTGCAGGATTTTTAATGTCCACCAGACAGGAGCATGGTTCATCTGAAGAATGGTACCTCTGACAGTAGGATTCTCCCCCAGTGCTACACAGGCATGACGTCACTATGGCTTCAAACACCACCGTGAGCTTAGGTACCAGCGTGGAGCTTGAACCCACAACCTTCTGACCTAGAGCCAAAAGTGCTGCCGACTGAGGCAAGCTGAGTGACTCTATCCAAAATGCCATTTAAAACCCCAGAACAGGCCAATGTACACATGCATTACGGAGCAACACTTACCTTGGTAAGAGCGAGCTTTGGCTCCAGGTCACTGGCATCAGGTAGGGGAAGGGTATTGGGTTGCACAGTTTCCAGGACACTGGCACATTCCACAAACTCGGGTGCGTCTGCAGAGACAGAGAGAAATTACTGTTGCGTGCCGGATGCGTATTTGCACGTGCCCTGGTCCGTGTCAGTCTACACTGGAGTCCTGTAGCTCAGTGGTTAGAGCACTCACCTCGTAATCGAGAGGACCTGGGTTCGATTCCCGGCGCCTCCATACGCCTCTGTTTACCTAGCATTAATTAAGTAGGGACACGGTTGTAGTCGATCGGTGGATCATATTTCTGGGGGTAAGAATCCCTTCAAAAAAAATTGAAGCAGGAGGTTGACTCTTGGGTTGAAGCTTGATGAGTCAGCCTTATGACGAGCAGCATTTTATTAAGTGCTGAGAGAACAGAGCATTCACTATGTGAAGAATTTGTGGAACCCTTTTTTCTCTTTCGATGGATATTCAGGATTATACTGGTTGGGTGTTTTTTTTTGCTGACCATAAAGGTTGGCCCGCATCGGCCCAATACATTGCTAGGGGTGTGTGGCATTGTCGGTGGTGCCATCTTGTCTGCCTGTTCAGGTGGACCCTACCCAGAGCAAAGGGCACTATATAAATGCATGTTGCTGTTGACATCAAATATCCCATGGCACTACCTGAAAGGGAGTTTCTTCTTCTGTCCTGGCCAGCAATCCTCCAAATAAAATTGGTCATTCATTGCTGTTTGTGGAACATTGCTGCATGCAAACTGGTTGCAGTGTTTGCCTACAAGGTGCACTGTCACTGCACTTTACAGGGGGAAAAAAATCCTGTGAAGCTCTACAAGGCACACAGTCACTGCACTTTATGGGGGGAAAAAAATCCCGTGAAGCTCATTGAAATGTCCTCCCAACGTGAATAGTGCTATATCAAACTCAATTTCTTGTCACGTACCAGTGCCTTTATCGAAGGCCTCGATGTGAACCAGCTTCATCTCATACGAGCTGCGGAGTTTCTCAATGTCCTCTTGCAGCCTGGCGTTGGATTTCTGTTCCGCCTCATAATCTGCCTTCATCTTGGCTAACCTCTGCTCATACTCCTGAAGAATAGTACAAAGTGAACGGACTGTTATCAAAGGAACAAAGCAGGACCCGGAAAGATCATTAGGACCATGTGGTCAGTCCCAGAGCACGGCATTTATTTTACTCCCCTTTTATTTGTCCCTCAAAGCAGTGCTAATGTGTTCTAGAAAACTGATGCCCACAAATTTTAGCCTCAGGACCACTGTGTCCTGTAGCTCAGTGGTTAGAGCACTCGCTTTGCAAGCGAGAGACCTGAGTTCAATTCCAGGCAGAGGGCGAAACCTTGGGCAAGTTTCCTTACTCCACACACAGCCTAATAATAATCCCTCCAAAACCAAAAACAATAATAAATTGGTCATTTTCAATCTACGACTGTTTGTGGGACATTGCTGTGCGCAATTGGCTGCCGCGTTCACCCACAAATATACAGTCAATTCACTTTACAGTGTGTTCTGTGAAGCGCTTTGGGATGTCCTCCCGACGTGAAAAGCGCTATATCAAATGCAAGGATTATTATTATTATTTTTGATAATAATAATCCTTGCATTTGATACAGCGTCTCATCACGTCTTCGAAATGTCTCAAAGCGCTTCACAGAATATACTGTAAACTGTAGTGACTGTATATTTTGTGGGCAAAACGGGGCAGCCAATTGCACACAGCAGTATCCTAAAAACAAAATGTCTCCCTGATCCACGGATTCACATGTATGCTAGCTCTAACATACACAAACCTGTCTAATCTTCTCTTTCTCGACTTCTGCTTCCTCGCGAGCGCTAGAATTTTGAGAGGAGTTACTCGCCAGCCGGTTACTGCTCACTGACAACTTGTTCAGATCATCTGGAAAAGAAATGCAAAGATCATTTCATCTATTGTGACAATCTATTCCATTGTACAACAACTCGCACTTATATAGCACCCTCCACGCAGGGTAGGGTCTCAGAGCACTTAAGAATGACGGAGACTGACTCCAAGCCAAATGGAGAGGAATAATAATAATAATAATAATAATCCTTGCATTTGATATAGCGCTTTTCACGTCGGGAGGACGTCCCAAAGCGCTTCACAGAATATACTGTAAAGTGAATTGACTGTATATTTGTGGGCGAACGCGGCAGCCAATTGCGCACAGCAATGTCCCACAAACAGTCGTAGATTGAAAATGACCAATTTATTATTGTTTTGGTTTTGGAGGGATTATTATTAGGCTCTGTGTGGAGTAAGCAAACTTGCCCAAGGTTTCGCCCTCTGCCTGGAATTGAACTCAGGTCTCTCGCTTGCTAAGCGAGTGCTCTAACCACTGAGCTACAGGACTCCAAGGCGGCTGTAAGCACAGTTGAAGAGGAAGGTCTTCAGGCGGGACTTGAAAAGGGGGAGGGGGCAAGGTGGAGGGATTGAGGAACTGTTCCAGAGTTTGGGGGTGTAGTGGCTGAAAGGGCTGATCGCGAACTCCAATGGTGGAGCGGAGGGTGCGAGGGACGAGCAGGAGGTCGGTGCCAGTCGAGTGGAGGCGCCCGCTGGGGGATTGGGGAATGAGGAGGTGGGAGAGGTAGGGAGGTTGCCAGAGAGTGGAGGGATTTGAACATGAGAGTGAGGATCTTGAAGTCAATCCGCTCGGTGATAGGGAACCTGGAGCTGGAACCTGGGCCAGAACTGGTGAGATGTGGGTATGAAGTTTGGTCAGGTCAGTACACGGGTGACAGAGTTCTGAATGAGTTGAATCTTTTGAATAGTGGAGCTGGGGAGACCGTCGAGGAGTGCATTGGAGTAATCCAAGCGGGAAGTGACAAACGCACGCACAAGAGTTTCGGCTGAATTTGGGGTAAGGTACAGTCGAAGGCGGGTAATGTGGCAGAGGTGGAAGAAGGCAGTGCTGGTCAGGGATTGGATGTGGGGGAGGAATGACAACAGGGGGTCGACCGGACGCCTAGATTGCGCACTGGTTCAGTGAGCGTGAGGGAGATCGCAGGGAGGTTGAGGAGTTCAGATCCGCAGGAGTGAAGAAGTTCAAAGGCTTCTATTTTGTCCACTTTCAACTGCAGGAGGTTTACATTCATCCAGGCCCTGGCGCCTGCCAGACAAGCTGATAGAACATCCTCCTGGAGTTGATCCTGGAGGAGGCAAAGTAGATTTGTGTGTCATCTACATACATGTGGACGTTTACCCCATGACTGTGGATGACATTGCCTAGGAGGAGCATATCAATAAGGATAAGAAGAGAGCCAAGGATGGAGCCCTGGGGTACCCCGCAGGTGACTGGGTGGGGGCGGGAGGAGAAACCATTTGTCGAGATGAAATGGAAGCGGTTGGTTAAGTATCTATTGTACATATTGTAGAATGGATTACCAGTCTGCTCTATCTTCTTATCCCTCTAATTTGTGTAGTCCTGTAAGCGTAGTGGTTAGAGTACTCGTCTCGCAAGCAAGAGGACCTGGGTTTGATGGGAATCAAACCCAGGTCCTCTCGTTTGTGAGACGAGTGGGGTGAAACGTTGGACAAGTTTCCTTACTCCACACGCCTCTATTTACCTAGCAGTAAATAGGAACCCAGTTGTTATGTTTATTCGTGGGTAATAATACCTTCAAAATAAATTAAAAATAATAATTTGGTCACTCAATCCACATTTGTGGGACACTGCTGTATGCAATTGCCCGCCATGCTTTGCCCACAAAATATACAGTCGTTCACTTTACAGTATATTCTGTGAAGTGCTCTGAGACGTCTCAAAGATGTGTTAAGGCGCTATATCAAATTCAAGGATTATTATTGTTATAATTTACTGGTGTTCCAGCACATGGTTGGGTCATTCTCAGCTGCTGGAATGTAATGACCCGCAAATGGGGAGTGCTACCAACTGAGCCATGCTAACAAACGACTCTTCTAGCTCGAGGATGTTTCTCAAACGTAATAAAGAACCATAAAAATGCAAATTCTTTCTTTATTTGATTTTTTCATACACCAATGCAGAAGGACAGTGGGAAATAGGAAAGTTCACTGAGATGTAAACTGGTCAAACATTTTAGGTCAGCCAATGATTAACACTCCCCTTTGCTATACAGGATTTTGGTAGATGTTGGGAATGCTTACTAAAGAAAACATCAAAGGGATCACCCAGTCAGATGAGTAGCTGAAGACAATGGCACCAAGTTTCGGTGATGGAATGAGCTTTAACTGTCACAGAGAATACCCAAGTCTCCTGTGGACCAATCCACCAGCTTTTCCAAAGACTGCGATAAAACTCTCATGCGAAGATTAGTGGAAGGGAGGGAAGGGGAAGAAAATAAATACTTACTGGATAAAGCAGTGCTTCCGACCTGCCCAGCTAGCAGCATCTTCAGTTTTTTGATCTCCTCCTGATATTCCCGGAGTAAAGCATCCTTTGGATCTTCGTTAATCTTGGGCTTGTTCTTGATGTTCTTGGCCCTGTTAGCGTAGCGCAGAGTGCTGAGGCTTTCATCATAGTTATTGTCGGCGGGCGAGAGGCAAGCTACCATCAGAGTTTTGGTGTTGCCTCCAAGAGAATCCTGCAGCATTCGGGTCAGCTTAGAATCACGGTACGGAATGTGTTTGGACTTACCGTCCACCAAGGCGGAGATGACATTCCCCAGAGCCGAGAGCGACAGGTTGATTTTGGTAGCTTCTTTCAGACGATCGCCCGTGGCCCCAGTTTTCGCCTGTCTCTCACTACCCGCTAAATCTACAAGATTTAATTTGCCCACGCGGATGTGGTCTTTCCCTTTATCGTCTGCAAAACAAAGTTGCCAAAAAGGAAAGATGAAGCAAAACGGGAACAATTTGCCTAGAAAAACAGTCACTACACACGGCAGCAGTTACTGTGAAGCGCTTTGAGATAAGACGAGGCACAAAAAAAATGTTCTTTCTCTCGGTTTCTTTTCTCTCCGTGCTTCCACTGGAGCAGGGCAAGTGGGCACACGTTCGAAGGTGTAAAGAGCAATTTCAGGGCAGACCCATTTAAAATACTTCAGAAAGTTTTTTTTTTACACAGAGGATAATGGTAAAGGCATAGTGGTAAAGGTAATCAAGAAGGTGGTTGAGGCCATTTAACTAGACTAATTTTCAACACATACTTTATGAGTAAGAGAGAAGACGATAGGGTGGATATTCAAATGGATCAAAGAGCCTTCTTTCTATTGACAACAACAAGAAAATTTCACATCAGAAGGCTGTCCCAAGGCACGAGACAGTTAAGGGTTTTCACCTGAGCTGGGGGTTGGAATCAAGAGGGTGTAGGGTGGGGAGGAGAGGTGGGGGTTGTAGGTTGTTTCTGCAGCAAATAGGTCAGAGGAAGGTCTTGAGGCGGTCTTGAAGGAGTAAAAGGAGGGTGCGAGGTGGAGGGATTCCGGGATGGAGTTCCAGAGGATGGGGACAGAAAAGCTGAAGGTCCAACTGCCAATGGTGGAGCAAGAGGTCATGGAGCAGGCCAGTGCCGGCAGTGCGGAGAGTGTGGACAGGTTGGTACAGTGTTAATAGGTCGCAGAGTTAGGGAGGAGCAAGACCAAGGAGGGCTTTAAAAGTGAGGACGAGGATTTTAAACTCAATCCTCCAAGGATGGGGAGCCAGTGAAGCCAATTAAGATGGGGGTGATTGGTACAAGGAGCTCGGTACGGGAGAGGACACGAGCTGCAGCGTTCTGAATAATTTGCAGTTTGTGAAGGGAAGAGTTGGGAAGCTGTGATTGATACCTCAGCGTCAAGCAAAAATAATGACCATGTGTCGGATGCTATCCATGGTAGACACTCTACCATGGTAGACCAAAGTTAAAGAAAAAAAAATTGCCTTCTGGAGAGGAGGGGAGAAAATATTTGGGAACTATAAAAAATAAGCAACATGAAGAGAGAGAATAGATGATGAAAAGATACACAGAAGCTCACAGAAGACAGGAATAATCCATTGTGAACAATCATCACACACACAGGATATGTCAATGTCTAACTGACCTATTGAGCACATCTCCAGGTGAATGGTAAATATAGAATGTGATCGCGATGAGTCCTTATTCATGAGGGTGTAACCCACAGCACGGTTGCTCCAGCCTATGTTCATGATTCTCTCACACTCAGCCACACTGTGGACGGTGTGCATGGACAGGTCCTTCACATAAACTCCTCTCTCCGGGTGTTCCTTCAACTGTAAATAAGAAGCAACGTGACAAACAGGACATTAGAGATTCTAATTTGCTCTGGAGCTGAGTAGTTTACTAGTAGCTCGACTACTCCCCAACCCGTCTCCACCTGCTATCTGCCAAGCGAAGCCTCAAACTGCAATTGTCAGACATCTAATGATGAACTAATAACTATCCACAGGAGGAAGGGTGGGAGAGAGGGAGGATTGAAGAGGTAAGTGGAGTCTTTTAGGGACTGACTTGGCTCCAAGGTGACTAGTCTAGAATTAAGTTGATTCTCTGTGGCACACCTGAGCCGAGCAAGCCCCAGTACTTCAGGGTATGGAAGACCAACAACAACAACAAAATTACATGTGTAAAGCGCCTTTCACGTCAGGAGGACATCCCAAGGTGCTGGACAATCAGTGTTTCAGACCCGAGCTGGGGTTCGGGATTGGGGCGAGGACGGCAGGGGGGAGGAGGAGGGTGATCAAAGACACAGTCAAAGAGGAGGGTCTTGAGATGGGTCTTGAAGGAGTCAAGGGAGGGGATGAGGCGGAGGGTCTGCAGGATGGAGTTTCAGAGGGTGTCGGCAGAGAGGCTGAAGGAGGAGGGAGGAGTTGGGAAGGTCGACAAGCAGGGAGTTTACATAGTCAAGTCTGGATGTTATAAATGCGTGTTTGAGGGTTTTGGCCGCCTGCGGTGTGAGACTGTGGCGGAGCCCAGCAATGTTGCGAAGGTGGGGAAGGCAGAGCGGATCATGACACGGATATGGGGTAGAAAGGATAACTGAGGGTCAAACAAGATGCCAAGGATCTGGACTGGCTTAGTAAGGTAGGAATGTGCAAGCGTGGCTGGAGATGCTGTCAGCGCTTGAGGTGTGGAGGCCCTGACAGGAGCCAATCAGGAGAGCCTTGGGCATGTTGAGGAGCCTGGTTCATTGGCAAGGCTTGGGAGGAGTAGACCAGACGCTGGGTCCTAGGATTTTTCCCATTCGACTCCTGATAACTCTGAAAACTAAGTGCATACTAAGTGCGTAGCTCAGAGCTGCCCAAGTTGCCTAAGTGGACAAAAATAGGGAAGCTCATCTGGGCTTCGGAAAGCTGTGCGGTTATAACTGGTTAACCTCTAGAACTACCCTTTGCACAATCTAGGATCCCAAAATCTTTGCTCTTGCTAGTTTGCATCTAAATTTTCCAGGAAGAAGTAAAAGCACTCTTCACATACACACACACACACACAGATAGAAAACCAGTTATATACCGAACTCTCAATCCATGGCCAAATAATCTGCCAACAGCCATCGTCAAGGAATCATTCACGAATAAGCTACAGGAGAGTGACTGACACCTACGGTCCTGGATTCATATTAAACAGAGACATATGCTGAGACAAATGCCATTAGCAGAGAGGGAGGAAGAGGATAAGATCAACAAGAATATATTTCCCTAATAACAAGAGCAGCTTTGGGTGACCCGGCAACTTGGGCAGCTCTGAGCTACGCACTTACTGCAAGTTGCACAGAGTTTATTAGGATCATTATGGCGCAGTATCACAGCAACACTTCTCAGGCTCCACTTGTGTTCTTCCAACACTTTCTCTGGTTTCTATAGAAACCAATAATGCTCAGCTGCTGAAATGACAAGTGCTGATCCCAATTAACTTGGAAAGCTGACTCCAATCACACTGGGCACAGTACTCCTCAACTCCCTTCTGTGGACAGAATGCAAGTTGAACTCCAACACCAACATGAATAAAATAATAAGAAAGCAGTTGAATTCACATTGCTGCTTTGTATGGTGGTACATAGTCTTCTCTTTGTAGGGCAGGGAGTTTTTTTCCTGGCATCGTGGCTAATACTCTTCCAGAGGACACGGCCTGCGATTGAAGAGCAGTAAATTCAGAACTAACCTATGCAAACACAATTTTAGTGAGCGAATAGTGAATGTGTAGAACAGGCTCCCTAGAGAGACGGTTGAAGCAGGAAATGTTGATTCTTTCAAACACAGATTAGATTTCTTTTAGGAAATCACATTGTAGTATTGTACATAAGGAGTTTGGGACACATGTGTATGTGATCACCAGGAAGGTGGAAGGCGAACTGGATGGATCTTGGTCTTTGTTCGTCTAGCATTTCTTATGTTCTTATGCATGTATCTATCTCCCTAATTGTAGCTTCAAGACTAACTAGCCCCTGGGCCAGAATATTGTGGATTCAAACCCCTTTATGTCACAACCGAGTATCACATTTTCAGATAAGATGTTAAAAGGAGGTCCCACCTGCCCATTTCAAAGGGATGTTAAAGCTCCCACGACAATACTGGAAAAGGCCAGGGAGTTTATCTGCTGGCGTCGTGGACAATACCTCACCAGATTAACCGCTTGTTTACTTTAAGGCTATTTGTAAGAATGTAAGAATAGCCTGGCACACAGGTCTGCCATGTTTGCCTATAATAATGGTCACTACACATAACGATAATAAATGCATAGCACATGTCTTAACATGTGGGACACTGCTGTGCTCCATTGGCTGCCGCGTGTCACCCATAAAACAGTCACTACACTTTACAGTATATTCTACAAAATGCTAATTCTCTCTTCCTGGTTCATGCGATAAAACTGCAGCCATAATAATAAGAAGAATCTTTGCATAATCCACATTGAAGCCACATCTGAATCTCATACATGCTGGTTATGTCATTCTCTGGCTTGGAACCAAGTATCACTTCATAAAGCTGCAGCTATGAGATCATACTGGATCATTCAGTGGGTACTTTGGCACCAGTCAAGTGCAGTCAGCAGCCTACCCACTGATGCCCAAACAACAAATTACATTTGTATAGCTCCTTTCACATCGGGAGGACATCCCAACAGAACAAACACAAGCTGGAGCAGCAAAATACCCAAACAAATGCCGCTCCCTGTTTTCATCAATCCCCAAAGTGCAACAATAAATATCCGTGCCCGTTTGTCTGACTATTCCTTATGTACAAGATGGTGACCTCAGAATCCCGCTATGCTGTAACCTCTGGAGCCTGACTGGCTTCACACTGGTTGCAGAGTGGAGGTTTGTTCTCATTCGCAGGGCTGGAAATGTCCATTCAGCCCATCACGCCTTCGATCTATAGAATAAATACACTATTATGGGCATCACACACCCATTTAATCAACTGGAGAAAGTTCTTCACAGACTTTTCCTGATCCCAAACCCCAACACCAGAATAATCTGCCACCTGGACTTTTTAACGAGTAAACCCTGCTCCGTCTCCTGGAGACTCAAGGGCTGCGAGAGTCTTGTGGATGAAAATGGTAACGTTATAGGCACCTCACTGCTGGAAACAGCATTTTGTGACCTAAAATATGTGTTCACCAGGTAGTCCCTGTATGTCCCCCTGAATTCTGCCCAGCCAACTCAGTGCTCAAAAAATAGTTCATTTCGTGAGGCATGGAGAGAATTAATTATAAGTGTCCTTGATTATTTTATTGGCTTTTCCTGGTGGCCAGAAGCCAGTAACAGTACCACGTCCTCAACCCCAATATCACTCGCCCAGTCCCAGCAGCATAGATGTGTTTGTTCATCTCAGTCTCCCACCAGCCCTAATTCACCAATATTGTTCGCCAAGCAGCAACAAAAGCAATTTTTTTTAATGAAAGGCTCAATTAACTCAGAATCAACTGTGTTTATTGGAAGCCTGGTCCATGTGACCACTAACTACTCTGTGAGGGTAGAATATCTTCCAATTTTTCACGCTGGCTTGTTCATTATAAATCCATATCCTGCTTGGCTTTCGTAGTTACAGAGCTTTTTTTTGATGTTCATGTCATCCGAGCTACTCAGATTTTATGCAACTTAACTGCCATTAAATAGTCTCTTATGAAGAAAATGTAAGTCTCACTGCACAGATCTGGAGGCCATAAAGCCATAGGGAACCTCAAATAAACCACATAGGAGTCTATTATGCACCATGTGCCAACCATGTGTACAGAGAGAATAACAGATGATCTTAATTAGTTTAACAATTAATGAAAATAATTTATAAATCAAGTAATTTACGAATCCCGTTCATTGGTAAATTAAATAATGAAGGGAAGGACACTTCAATTCCCTCCATGTCACACATATACACATGTCTCACAAACGGGACATGATACACAGTTTGTAGGTGGAACATAAAACACACATGTGTATATGTGATACATAATAATTCCACTGTTAAAATGTCCCTAGATCAGGAAGCACTTTAGATTAAAAGTTTTCAGTATTTTGACCAGCAACAATGACATAAAAATCTCAGATTTTTTAAAATCCATTTCACAATAATCTTGCCCATGACCCTCAAAAGTGTGAAATGAAAGCCTTGTGAACGTGAGGAAATCATACTCTCACCAGCCAAGCATGGATGCTTGAATATAACACATCACGTATACAGAGTGTGAATTCTCAGTCGAGCAGCTTGCATTAATGTGCTGACACCCTGCAATTTGTTATCGCTGTTAATAATGCAAAGTTTTCCTCCCCCAGCATGTTCATCTCAGCTCTGACCTCCCTTGCTGTTCTTATATTTCACTGAGCAAACAAAACAACATGGCACAGTCCGCTTTCCACGCAAGAAAGCGCTAGAGCACTTTGTGGGGTTGTATCAAGATACAACAAGGTGCTGCTAAAATGCAACTTCTTGTCGTGCTTCTTGGAAAAATCTATCAAAAAAGTGAAGGGGGCTAGTGCTCAGCAAAGCCGCCCCCTCCACAGCTCTCTGTAATCGGAAGAGTCAAAATGATAAGAAATAATCCTTGTATTTGATATAGCACCTTATTAACTCTTCCAGATGTCTCAAAGCGCTTCACAGAATATACTGCAAAGTGAATTGACTGAAAATGTTATTGTTCTGCAATCCAGTGCTAGTTGTTCTAAATTAAAAGATATCTAAATCTGAATGAGTCTCTAAACCACTGGAGGATAATCTTTTTGGTCGACCAACAAAATAAATGTTCTTGCAATAAATCAAGAAATATTCAATCAAGAGAAACCTGGAAACACACGACCAATCAAGCATGTACTTACTTAGACTAGTGTGAATGTTCGGGGGGGGCTTCTTGAAGGTTTCCCCCTGATGTGAAAGGCTCTATACAAATGTAATTTTTTTGTTGTTTATTTGTCCTGAGAACTGGAACCAATCGTGCCGTAGTTTGGCCGGCACTGCTCTAAACACTCAGATGGAGAAGGTAATTCCTTACCTAACCCTGGAGAATTGAGGTGCAGATTGGCAAAATCAAGGCTTGTGGACCCCCAGAGTGTGCGCTGCGATACTGCTGAAGTTTAACAACAACAAAATTACATTTGTTAAGCGCCTTTCATGTTGGGAGGACGCCTCAAGGCACTGAACAGTTGGGGATCAGGACCCGAGCAATGGGGGGGAAGGGAAGGGATGAGGGAGGGTAGAAAGATAGAAGGGCGGCTGAAGGCACAGTCGAATAAAGGAGGGTTTTGAGTTGTGTCTTGAAGGAGGCAAGGGAGGGAGCGAGGTTAAGGGATGGAGAGAGCAGACAAATTGATCGGGGCTTAGCAGGTCAGAGAGATAGGCCTTACCCCCTCCTAAACCAGCTAACCTGCACAATAAGTATCCCAGCTGCCAGTGGTCCTTCAAGTCCTGCCAATGAGCCAAAAAGACCTGATATCAGCCCTGTTCCATATCGATTTCCAGATGGGGCCAGTCCCAATTTTTGCAGATTTGGAGCTCTCTACTGTATTGATCTTTTAAAAATATAACTGCCTCTCAGCCATTGCCTTTATAAAATGCGAAAGGCCATTGTATTTCCACCTCGCAAGAAAAGCAGACAAGACAACGCACTATCCATACTCACACAAACCTTCACTTTACCTCCAGTTTCTGCTTGGTGTCTTGACCCAGAAGATCGTGGATCTCCTCGTTGTAAATTTCCAGAAAAGAAGCCCTCACAAGAAACTTGGCATTTTCTGTACACTGCAAGTCAAACACAGGAGAAATCAATTTCTCAGAGCTCTTTTGTGTTGGGACATCCAATGATGATAATAATTCTTACAATAAGTTTGTTATTGCGCCTTATCACATCATCAAGACGTCTCAAAGCGCTTCACAGGATTTTGCTGTGAAGTGTAGTGACTGTGTATTTGTAGGCCAAACTGGCAGCCAATTTGCATACTTCAGGATAATTGTGTTAGGAAACTCTTTTTATGCAGGGCCTTAACAGCCAGTAGGGACACGCACACACACGCAGAAAAAGAGAAACCGAGAGAGATAGCCAGCAGAGAGGGAGTGACAAAGACAAAGCAGTAGCAAAGAAAGCCGCTCAGCCTATTGGTCACTCAGTCCACGACTGTTTGTGGGACGCTGCTGTGCGCAATTGGCTGCAACATTTCGCCCACAAAATATAGTCAATTCACTTCACAGTATATTCTGTGAAGCGCTTTGAGACGTCTCGAAGATGTGAAGACGAGCAGGAGGGCGGTGCCAGTCGAGTGGAGGCGCCGGATAGTGGATTGGGCAGTGAGGTTGGAGAGGTAGGGAGATACCAGGGAGTGAAGGGATTTAAACACAAGTGTGAGGCTCTTGAAGTCGATGCATTTGGTGATGGAGCCTGAGCTAGAGCTGATGAGATGTGGGTACGGAGTTTGGTCCAGGTCAGTATTCTGGCAGCAGAGTTCTGAATGAGCTGGATCTTTTGAATAGTGGAGCTGGGGAGACCGGCAAGTATACAAACAAAAAAAAGTTTGAGTAATCCAGGCGGGAGGTGACAAACACATGCACAAGGGTTTTTTGGCTGCATTTGGGGTAAGGTATGGTTGGGCAACTTGGTGGAGTGGAGGAAGGTAGTCGTGGTCAGGGACCGGACATCAGGGAGGAAGGACAGCTGGGAGTCGAACCGGACGCCTGGATTGCGCACTGGTTCGGTGAGTCTGAGGGAGAGCCCAGGGTTGTTGAGGAGTTTAGATCCGCAGGAGCGAAGACGATGACGGGAGCCAAAGAGTATGGCTTCCGTCTTGACCACATTCAGCTGTGGACAAGGCGGAAGAAAGAAAATGAGAAAATGTGAGAGGCAGAAAGACACAGAGAGTGAGACAGCAGAGAGAGAATGGATGAGAGTGTAAGCCCACTATCCCATTTCCACCTTTTGAACTGGATTTTAACTTTGCATAGCATTAAAACCCACAGTATTCCCAAGCAGCATAACACTGCAGACTATCATTTTGGAGTATTTAGCTGAATGAGTAAATGAATGAATGAAAGTAAATGTAAAAAAATGAGTTTTTTCACAAACTACAATTCACACCCTATACCCAGGTCCAGGTCATTTATATAGACCAGGTTTAAAAAGAGCAGTTATCCTAATACTGACCCCTGGGGGACATCACTGCACACTTCCCTCAGGTCAGAAAAACAACTGTTCATCACCACTCTCTGCTTTCTGTCTCCCAGACAGCTCTGTATCTGCTGCCACTGTCTCTTTAATATTGTGCGCTTCAATTTTGCTTACAAGTCTCTTATGTGGCACTTTATCAAACGCCTTTTCAAAATCCATATAAATTACATTAACTGCACTACCTTCATCCACCCTCTCCGTTACTTCATTAAAAACTCTTATCAGGTCATTAGAGCTGATTTGCCTTTAAGAAATCCATGTTGGCTGCCCTTTATTAACCAATATGTTTTAAGTGAAAATTTATTTTTTCCCATCTTATAATCTCTAGATGTTTCTGCACTCCTGATGTTAGGCTGACTGGCCTGTAGTTCCCAGGTTTATCCTTCTGCCCTTTTTGTACAAGGGAGTAACAGTTGAACCCTCCAGTCCTCTGGCACCACCCCCGGTGTCCAAGGAGGATTGAAAGATTGTGGCCAGAGTTTCCATTATTTCCACCCTTAGTTCCCTCAGTGACCTAGGATGCATCCCGTTCGGACCGTGTGACTTATCTACCTTGAGCACTGACAACCTTTTTAGTACCTCGTTTATTCTTATCTTATCCAATTTCTTTACCCTCTCCTCTGATACTATGGCTGCATCCTCTTCTTTTGTGACATTTGAGGAAAGAATCTGATTGTTGGCTGGCCTCTCTAGAATTTAGCTCTGTGAGATTGAGAGAGGAACTTGGCACAAGGTGTTGAACAAATATCACCCTTTTCTTTGAGTCAATTAATTGTTGGCACACCATAAGTTTTCCAAAAAAAAGGGACAAAACATTCAAATTATAACGCTTTGTAAAGCTTTGTACAGCAAAGCTAGTGGAAATTCATTCTCCTGATGTTACAAAGGTAATAATAATAATCTTTTCATTTGATATAGAGCTTTATCATGTCTTCGAGACGTCTCAAAGAGCTTCACAGATTATACTGTAAAGTGAATTGGCGTATGGAGTAAGGAAACTTGCCCAACGTTTCGCCCTGCCCGGGAATCGAACCCAGGTCCTCTCGCTTGCTCCAGGTACTAAATGGAGGGCAAAGTCTAGAGAACTCAGGACTGTTTTGGAGGAAGCTGAGATGCATGGGCAAGATTACTACAACTTGTCGTGTTTTTGTACCAGATAACTACAACTTTGAGAACTCACGAACGTATTCGTGAAAATAGTTTGACCACAGCAATTTACCTTCTGAACTCTCAAACGCTTTAGTTTAACAGACCTGGATACTCTCAAAGATGTGCTCGAAAGCTCTGGGAATGACTCCTCGTTGCGATGGGGGGTATGAAACGCCTTGCATGGTGAATGACTTCCCGCTTCCTGTCTGTCCATAGGCAAAGATCGTTCCATTGTAGCCTTCCGTCACGCCCTGAAGCAAAACACAACCATCTGTGATCACAGCTTTCTAATCGCCTGTGGGGAAAAAAACAGTCACTACACTTTGCCAACAGTTACCCAACGTACAAAGTGCTGTAAAAATGCAAGTTACTTCTTCAAAAAGAAAACCCCGTCCATCCCACCGTCCCAGGGCAGCCCCCACCCACCCACCCCCACTCCGCCCCATTGCCCACAGCCCCCGCACCCCCCCGCCTCATGCCCACAGTCGCTTCAATGCCCACAGCGCTCCCTCTAACATCAGCCCCAACTCTACCATCAAACCCCGTGTGGTCACAGCCCCCCCACCGCCCACATCCCCCTCTACTATCAGCCCCCCACTTGCAAACAGCCCCCCCTGGCCCCACAGCCTCCCCATTTTGCTCTACAGCCCCCCTTGCCCCACAGCCCCCTTTGCCCCACAGCCCCCCTTTGCCCCACAGCCCCCTTTGCCCCACAGCCCCCTTTGCCCCACAGACCCCCTTTTGCCCCACAGACCCCCTTTGCCCCACAGACCCCCCCTTGCCCACAGCCCCCCCCCCCCCCGGGCCGCACCTCCACCAGGGGGTAGGCGATCTCGTTGTACAGCTGCTCGGTGCTGTTGTCCATGCAAAAGACGCCGTCGAAGGTGAAGTGTTTTGGCGGCTGCTCGGGGGCCGTGGGCTTGTGGATGAAGCACTGGCCGCGCCCCGGGTCCATGGTCACCACCTCCCGGCAGCTCAGCTCCTTCTCGCGGCTGTTGCTGGGCCGGCAGCGGACAACCACCCGCACCGTCTCCGAGGCCATGGCGCCCCGCGGCCCCACCGTCACCGGGGCAACGCACCGCTCGCTCCACTTCCGGCCCAAGCCACGCCGTCACTTCCGCCTATCCCCAAGCCCGAGCGGGTTACCGTTGGCAACCGTTGGCAAGGCGCCATTGGGCGGGGGTTTGAGCGGTTTTGGGGCGGTTGGTGCGGTTTCTCGGGCATTTTGAGCGGTTTGGTGCGGTTTTTTTTGTGTGGCGGGTTGTGCAGTTTGGGCGGTTTTGTGCGCCTTTTTGGGGGCGGGGGCGGATTTTGTGCGGGTTTGTGTGGGGTTTGGGGCGGTTTGTGTGTGTGTGTGTGTGTGTGTGCGCCACAAAAGAGGAACCTAATTGCTTGACGTTGAGATGTAAACCCTCCTTTGAAGAACCTTTGCACAGTTCCAACCGCCCCCCACCCCCCCCAACCGTCCCCCGGGAGGGGGGCGCGTAATATTGGGCTGTTTTTTTTGGGGGGGGGGTGTGTGCAGTGGCCTTTGGGCTACAAACCACTGACGAGTGACTGTGCTCTCGGGGGAGGGGGGGAGGGGAGGTGGGGGGTGCTGTGGGGGGGGTCTCGGTCTGCTCGGGGCTGGACGGGCGGCTCCGGGCGGGGCTCAGAGTGAGAGCGCGAAGGAGGTGCCGCTCGACACCTCTCACGTTGGGGGAGGACGTCCCAAAGCGCCCCTCGCAGCCCACCCCCCCCACCGCATTGCCCCTCCGCACCCCCCCCCCCACCGCATTGCCCCTCGCAGCCCCCCCCCACCACCGCATTGCCCCTCGCAGCCCCCCCCCAACCCCGCATTGCCCCTCGCAGCCCCCCCCCCACCACCGCATTGCCCCTCGCAGCCCCCACCCCCCCACCACCGCAAAACACCTCGGAAACATCTTTTTAAAAAAAGAAAATAATAATCATCGTCTCTGGTTTGGGTCGGCCGCCTCGATTCCCCGCCTCGATTCCCCGCCTCGCACCAGCGCAGAGTTTTTTAAAAAAAATTTGGGGGTTAAAAAAAATTTTTTTTTAGATCAACAATGAAGTCAGTAAGTTTTTAAGGTTAAATGTAAACACGTTTAATAGAACGTCACGTCAAGGAGATCGATCCTGAAAGGCAAACAGAGTAGCACTGTCGAACGCTTGGCTTAACAATCAATACGTTTGCGCGTGTTTTATCTCTGTCGCCGACGGATGTCTTCAGCCGATATTGCCCGGCGGAGGGAGGGGAACACGTCTGGGACAGGCACGGAGCGTGTTCGCGGCGGCGGGTAGAGCAGAGCAGGTGGGGTTGAATGGATGGGACCAGGATATCATCCCCCCCGGTCATCTTCCGCTCAAAGGGGCCCCCAACGCATGAATAATAAATAATCCTTGCATTTGATATAGTGCTTTTCACATCAGGAGGACGTCCCAAAGCGCTTCACAGAACACACTGCAAAGTGAATTGACTGTACATTTGTGGGCGAACGCGGCAGCCAATTGCGCACAGCAATGTCCCACAAACAGTCGTAGATTGAAAATGACCAATTAATTATTGTTTTTGGTTTATGAAGGGATTATTATTAGGCTCTGTGTGGAGTAAGGAAACTTGCCCAAGGTTTCGCCCTGCCGGGAATTGAACTCAGGTCTCTCACTTGCAAAGCGAGTGCCCCCCCCCCCCGGAGAGGCCTGAGGAACGCCCCGGGGGCAACACCTCGACCTCAGCGACGGCCGAGCGACCACCCGCTTCGGTGTGCAGCATCTTTGGAGCATTTTTTGTTTCGTCGGTCTAAACTGAAGTTGCTTCAAGACTGGGCGCTTGGACCCACTCATCACAGCCGTTTGGTTTCCCTGTTTTGCCAACCGCACGAGGATAAATACGTCAACTATTTTCACACGTTACATCTACGCGCAGTTGGCGAAACAGGGAAGCAAAATGTCTGTGATGAGTGGGTCAAGTGTGCAATCTTGAACCCGATCATTGATACGGGCCAAAGGCTTTCACTGTGATTTTTTTTTCTTCAGCCGATAATTTCAGACTGGGTGAGAGTGAGCGGGTTGAATCTCTTGCCAGCGGGAGGACGAGACCAAGCGGGCTTCGCAGGAACAGGAGGAGGTCATCCACGACCAAACCCTCTCCTTCAGTTCTTCAGAGTTTGAGCTGCTCCTAATCTGAAGCGATCTCTCGGTCAGGGGTTGTGGTTCGGGCCAGGTCTCGGGGTTCTGCCGAGTCTTGAGGCTCGTAGCAGTGGTTCAACCTGGCATTGCTCAGGCAACAGAACAGGTCATCCTCTACCTCAGTGTAATGTTCGATCAGAGCTTTCAAGCTGGGAAACATAGTGTTCAAATGCTGGAGGTTAAAAACAAGGGCAGCATGAATGTGATGAGCACAGAGAGAAATAATAATAATAATCCTTGCAATTGATATAGCGCCTTATCATGTCTTTGAGGCGTCCCAAAGCGCTTCACAGGATAGACTGTAAAGTGAATTGACTATATATTTTGCGGGTGAAATGTGGCAGCCAATTGTGCACAGCAGCGTCACACAAACAGCTGTGGATTGAGGGACCACATTTGTTTTTTGAAGGGATTATTACCCTCAGAAAGCGATCCCAATCCTAAACCCAATCAACTAAAAACCGGGTTCCGATTTACTCCTAGGTAAACAGAGGCGTGTGGAATAAGGAAAATTGCCCAACGTTTCGCCCTACCGGGAATTGAACCCGGCTCTAACCACTAAACTACAGGACTACAGCACAAACATGAATAGCACATGAAGAAATATTACAGAGTAAGGTATAGAAAAAAAATTGCATTTCGAAAGGGAGAAACTCCCATCCTTTTTCTTTTCGTGTCCTGGGATTTTTGAAGATCACCTGAATAGGCGTTTGATATTAACATCTCATCTAAAAGGCAGCATCGCTGAGAACCCAGCATTCTCCCAATACTGGAGTGACAGTACAGATCGTGCCTGAAGACCTTCTTCTTCGACGATGCCTAGGGTCACCTCCCCCCTCCCCCGGATCGGCATCGTGCTCCGCCATCGTCAAGCGCTCCAGGGCGCTACCCTGTGTGAGGGGCGCTGTATAAATGCACATTGTTGTTGTTTTTCTGACCACAGGTGAGAATGCTGCCAACTGAGCCCAGATGTCAAGCTTCAACCGCACCTTCGGTCACCCTGCTACCCCCATCCTCCCTGCCCTCCACCCCTCCAGATCCCAACCTCCAGCTCAGGTGCAAATCCTGACTTGGGACGTCCTCCTCGATGTGAAAGGCGCTGTACACATGTGAGTTGTTGTTGTTATTGTTGTCATCTACGTCATTACAAAACTTAAAATCTGGGTGGGGGGGTTCGTGTTTCTTAGTTTATAATGAACAATTAAGAATGACTATATTTAACTTGAAAAGATTACTAAAAAAAAAGTAATTATGGATAAGTAATAATATCCCAAACAAACGAGGCTGAAAAATGCAGCATATCCCCATTTCAGGTCAATGTGACATAGAATAGTATGTAGAACATTACAGAGCACAAATAGGACATTTTGTCCAAGTTGTCTGTGCTGGTGTTTATACTCCAGTCCCTCCTACAATCCTATGCTGCTTCACGCACAAATTCCTCTTAAATACGTTGATGCTCTTTGCTTCACTCACAGCTTCTGGCAGCGAAGCTCATCATCCTCTGTCTAAAGAATTTTCTTCTAAATTCCCTTTTAGGAACAGGAATAGGCCATTCAGCCCCTTGAACCCGTTCCTCCATTCTGTGAAGCGCTCTGTGACGTCTTGAAGACATGATAAGGTGCTATATCAAATGCAAATATATATATACATATATACACTATATAATATAAAGTCATGGCTGATCTGTACCTCAACTCCAATTAACCCCTTTGCTCCATATCCCTTGATTCCCTGACCTAACAATTATCTATCCACCTCAGTCTTGAAAACTTGAATGGATCCACAGCGTCCACAGCCTTTTGGGGGGAGAGAGTTGCAGATTTCCATTAGCCTCCTGATTTCACTCCTAAATGGCCTGGCTCTAATTTTAAGATGATGCCCCTTGTTCTGGATTCCCCACCAGAGGAAATAGCTTCTCTGTAGATCTTCAGATCTGCCACCATAAATAGGGCAATACAATTTACCCAGCGCCTTTCCAGCGTCGGGAGGACGTCTCAAAGCGCTTCACACTGCTGCTGGGCACCCGAACTGGGGATTTTGTTGCGTATTTTTTTGGCTGCCGCCCCTGACTCAAGCTGCTTTCCCCCAAAATGCCCCCCATCCCTGTCCTCTACCCTGCATTACTCTTGCTCTGTCCTCCTCTCCCACCGTCCTCCTCCTCTGCCTTTCAGTCCTGCTTTACAAAGAGCAGCCACACTCTGACATTGGCAGTAACAACATTCACGTGACGTTTCACATTTTTCACCCCATTCTATTCCCCGAGTCTCACCTCCAGGTAGTATTCGTCAGCCTCGTTCCTGCAGATCAGGTAAGTGATCACTCCGAAAGGCGTTTGCACCAGAAGCGACCAGGAAGGCGTGGGACTCAGAATCTCCCACAGTAAGAAAGCTCCTAGGACATCATGCTGAAGGAGGCGCTTGGCGATTTCTCTGCATGAAAGGACCAGAAAGGATTGGAACTTGAGTAGTGCCTGGGTCCTCATCCCCAATGTAAGCCCGCGAAGTGTCACGTGCATAGTGAACTCGGTGGCCTCTATATTCGATCTCGCTCTGTGGGCAATTTCTCTAATCTAAGGTGTGACTTCATTACAGAGAGTCAACACAACGGCAAGTTCTAACAGTGCTTTATATACAACAACAATAAAATTAGCAGGTCAGGCAGCATCCATGGAGAAAGTCTACAACCCTTCGTCGGAGTCGGGCAATGTTGCGGAGATGGGGGAAGGTAGAGCGGGTCATGGCATGGATATGGGGGAGAAAGGACAGTTGAGGGTTGAACAAGATGCCCAGGTCTTGGACGTCTAGAAACAAAAGTAGGAAGCTTCTGCCAGAACTTTGACGTAAGTTCAACCGGTGTATGTAAATCCCATTCTAACCACTACACTACAAGATTCCACGGGGTGAGAATTATAGAACAGAGAGCACCAAATCAGCCATAAGAACATAAGAAATGCTAGAGGAAAAAAAGACCAAGGTCCATCTAGTTTGCCTTCCACCTTCCTGACATACACATATGTCCCAAACTCCCTACGTCTATATTCCATAATGTGATTTCCTAAAAGAAAACTATCTAATCTGTTTTGAAAGAATCAACATTTCCTGCTTCAACCGTCTCCCTCGGGAGCCTGTTCCACAGGTTCACTATTTGCTCACTGACGTAGTGTTTGCATAGATTCATTCTGAATTTCCCCCTTTTAATCGCAGGCCGTGGCCTCTGGTTTTACTATTCTGGACAAGTTGAAACAGCCGGTCATGATCTATATTGTTTTGCCCCTTTTGAATCTTAAAGACAGCAATCATGTTGTCTCGCAATCTTCTCTTTTCCAGCGTGAATATGCCCGATTTACTTAGTGGCTCCTCATAGTCCAGTCCTTCTATTCCCTCAACCATTTTGGTTGCCTCCTCTGTATCTTCTCGATTTCTCCAATATCCTTTTTGTACTGCAGTGACCAGAACTGTACACAGTCTCTAAGTGTGGTCTCAACGATGTTATATACAGTGGCAGGATTATCCCACTATTTTGGCTGCTATTGATCTTTTGATACATCCCAACATCTGGTTTGCTTTATTCACTGACACCGCATTGTTGGGTGAGCTTCAATTTATTGTCAATCAGTATCATGATCTTATAGAATGGCGGAACAGGCTCGAGGGGCTGAATGGCCTACTCCTGTTCCTATGATCCTTTGTTCCAAGTGGGCCAACAGACTTATTTGATCCGATCCTCTCGTGGAATCATTGGAAATTGTGTTTACCCGAGCGCTATGGGATGCTACCCTGTGTGAAGGGCACTATACAAATGCAAGTTGTTGTTGGGTGTTGTCATTGAGCAGATTTCCTGAGCTGGGCACTAACCTGGGAACTCCAGTACTGGACCAGACTGTGTCCGTCAGAACATCCTCATGTTGTAAGGGAGATAGATCCCTCCAGGACTCCAAATGCTCATCGCCCCAGCTGAAACTGACTGCAAAATATAACCATTTTATGATTCAGGACTTTTTCAGCTAATTTTTCTCTCCTCTTTCTCCTGAAGATCTGTGACTTTTCCTCTCCACTGGAGTGACAGATCCATTACACCCTCCAACACCTTGGCCATTGGTCACAGTGTATCTCAGCAAAATATTCAATTGGTGCCTCGATCTTGTCCTCATCTGAAAATCAAACATAGCTATCTTCCAGGAGGGAGGTAAGAGGAGGGGAGGGTTGAGGGGGGAGGAGAAGAGAGGAGAGGAGGGATGAGGGGGGGAATGGGAGAAGAGGAGGGGGATAGAGGAGATATGAGAGGAGAGAAGGGATGAGGGTGAGGAGAGGAATGAGAGGAGTGGGGAGAGAGGAGGGGGGNAGTGGTGAAGAAAAGGGGTCTCTCTAGGATAACAATCAGGATTTAAAACTTTATCGCCAAAGTGCTTTGAGACATTTCTCTTACATGTGAATAGATAGCTCTGTGTGAAATGCAAGATGTTGCCATAAACTGGGCAGAATCCAATATTCTGAAGCAAAAAAAACATCAAAGAATGACACAAATATTCCTGATGTTGGGTGCTCGAGCCTTTATATTCCAGTAGAGAACCCTTCAAAAACCTACACATTTACACCCGGCTTTACATATTGCCCAAGAATGTCATAGATCCATGACTGTTTGTGGGACGCTGCTGTGCACAATTAGCTGCCGCGTTTCACCCACAGAATATACAATCAATTCACTTTATATTCTGTGAAGTACTTTGAGATGTCTAGAAAACGCGATAAGGCGCTATAGCAAATGTAAGGATTATTATTAGTACAGATAAGAAATTAGTTGAAAGGTTTAAGAGGGAGTGGGGAAATATTAAGGGATAAGGTGGGATTTGGGAGATAATAATAATCCTTGCATTTGGTCTAGCGCCTTATCACATCAGTATGACGTCTCAAAGAGCTTCACACTATTTACTGTGAAATGGAGAGAGTGGAGTTATGGGCAACACAATTGCACACAGCAATGTTCCACAAACAGCCATGAAACTAGCGATCAATTTTATTTTGGGGATTGTCGGTCAGGCCAGTATTAGACACAGGCTGGCGTGAGACGGGTGAAGTAGTTGTGTTTGGGCCATGGAATGCCCTAGGACTGCTGGGTTGAATGCCCCCTATGCCCCCAACCCCGTGACTCTGAGCTCCATACTCACTCCCATCCTCTATCGCTTGTTGGAACTGCCTCTTGAAGGTGGAGTTCCTGTAAGCTCCGGACCGTATCCCTTTGTTACGGATTGCTTTCTTTCGGACCAAGGTCAATGAGGAAAACGGACACTCTGCCCCCGGTTTGTCCGATGGATCCTTTTCGCTCGACGGACCCTAAAGGCGTAGGAGGGACAATTTAATTCCATTCCAAAGGTGAATCCATCCACTCAACGACAACAACTTGCAATTATATAGCGCCTCTCAAGCAGGGTAGCGTCCCGGAGCGCTTAAGGGGGAGGGGGATCCTTGTTCTTTTGTGTCTATCGTTTAACAGCTAGCTTTGCCTCAAAACCCTAGGGTTTATGGTGTATGGATTCTTCCTCCAGCCCATCCAGTACTAAATCGCTGTCGATTTTTTTTACACAAGGAGTATTTTTTTCCTGATTATTAGCCGGTCGAACAGTGTTTTGACTGAATTTATTTTTGTGTCTGTTTTATTTTCATGCACATCTCGGGACAAGAAGCACGAAACCTGGCCTCGATTTATGATGTTTCAGACCTTAATCACATATTACTTTGTTAGGAAACAACCAAAATGATTAGAAATTCAATAAATTGAAAATTTTTCCTCACAGGAAATATCACATACTGGAACCTGTTGTGAAAAAAATCTTGTGATCAATTTCATCATGTGTCTGAAGTTGGTACCCAACATGAATTGCGCTATACAAATGTAATTTGTTGTTGAAGTTAACTAGAAAACCACCACCTCCAACAACAACAACTTGCACTTATATAGCCCCCTCCACGCCAGGTGGTGTCTCAGAGCACTTACCAAGTCACGCTGCTTACTTTAGTATTTCCTGTGACGCTTTGGGACGTTGCAACGATGTGATAACAACAACAAAATTACATTTGTATAGCGCTTTCATGTCGGGAGGACATCCCAATGCGCTGGACAGTCAGTTGTATCGGACCAGAGCTGGAGTTCGGGACTGGGGAGGGTGGAGAGCAAGTGGGGAAAGAGGGTGATCAAAGGCACGGTTGAAGAGGAGGGTCTCGAGATGGATCTTGAAGGAGATAAGGGAGGAGGTAAGGCGGAGGGACTGCAGGATGGAGTTCCAGAGGGTAGGGGCAGAGTGGCAGAAGGCGGGGCGGGTAAGGTGGCGGACGTGAAGCAGGCCGGAGTCCACTGAGTGGAGGGAGCGGGCAGTTTGGTAGGGGGTTAGGAGGTCGGAGAGGTAGGGGGGAGTGAGACCATTGAGGGCTTTGGAGGTGAGGACCTGGATCTTGAACTGTATCCTCTGTGTGATGGAAAGCCAGTGGAGGATGGGGGTGATAGTGTCATGGAGTCTGGTGCAGGAGAGTTCTGGATTATCTGCAGCCTACGGAGGGAGGAATTGGGGAGGCCGACAAGCAGAGAGTTTGCATAGTCAATGCTGGATATAATGAATGCATGTATGACGGTCTCGGTGGCCTGCAGTGTGAGACGGTGTCGGAGCCGGGCATGTTGCGGGGGTGGGGGAAGGCAGAGAGGGTCATGGCATGGATTTGGGGTACAAAGGATAGTTGAGGGTCAAACAAAACGCAAAGGCGCTATATCAAATGCAAGGATTATTATTATTATTATTATTACCAGCGGCTCCAATGATTCCAACCCGTCTCGGCGAGATAGTCTGAAGGAGACCAGAGCATTAACATTGAGAGAGACGTCGAGCTCTGTGTAGCGATCCCTCACGTCCCTGGGGGAAAGGGCTTGCTGTGGGGAGCACTTCTTGCTCTGCTGCTCGGGGCAGCAAGGGGCAGACGAGGGGCTCTGGCGTTCTCTCCTGTGCTGCAGGCAGTACTCAACCTGGAACAGACGGCACAGCTGCAAGTTCAGCAGGGTTGCCTGTAGCAGAGAGACATGTCCAGATGGTTAGACATAGACACAGAGATCAGCACTGGTTCACCAAACGTTCCAACAATGTTCCATCCATCAAGAAAAATAATCACAATACTGTTCATACAATGTCGTTTGCATTTATACAGCGCCTTTCACATTATAATAATAAATCCTTGCATTTGGTACAGCACCTTATCACGTCTTTGAGACATCACAAAGCGCTTCACAGAATGTACTGTAGTGAATCGACTGTATAATTTGTGGCATTGGGGGGGACGTCTCAAAGAGCTTCACGGTACTGGACGGGCACCAGAGCCGGGGGTGGGAGCCGTGGGAGAGGGGAAGAGCCGTCAAAGAGGTACATTTTGAGACATGCCTTGAAAGAGGGGAGGGAAGGAGGGAAGGAGCGAGCAGGAGGATTCCGGGATGGAATTCCAGAGAAGGGGACAGAATGGCTGAAAGCGCGCTCAGAAGGGTGGGGTAGATAGGGGAGGGCACCGGAAGCATTGGCTATCTGTTATGTGTCACGTGTAAACCATGTGTCAAGAGGGAATTACTGGTGCTCTTAAATAACAATAGGTAGAAATAATTCACTTTAAACTACATCAGTCCTTTTCTATTGGATGCTAATTACTTAATCAATTAAGGTGAGCAGTGCTTGTCACGGTAATAATAATAATCCTTGCATTTGATATACCGTCTTATCATGTCATTAAGACATCGAGAAGCGCTTCACAGAATATATTGTAAAGTGAATTCACTGTATATTTTTGCAGTAAAACATGGCAGCCAATTGGGAACAGCAGTCACCCATAAACAGCCATGAATTGAGTGACCAAATTATTCCTCTTTAAAGTACATTTAGGAGAGAAATTCGACCTGGGTCCACACTTACAGCATTTCGTTAGCATCTCAGAGCGTGCAACATTTCGCCGTTTAGACCCAAGTATAACTAAACGCAGAACAACAACAATAAGAACAAGATTACATTTGTATAGCACCTTTCATAAGAACATAAGAATTAGGAGCAGGAGTAGGCCATTCGGCCCCTCGAGCCTGTGCTCCGCCATTCAATAAGATCTTCAGACCTAACTCTGATTACCTGCCCTATCCCCATATCCCCTAATCCCTCTATTTTTTAAAAATCTATCAGTCTCAGCCTTGAAGATGTTCAAGGACTGACATCTACAGCCTTCTGGGTTAGTGAATTCCATAGGTTCACTTCCCTCTGAGTGAAGAAATATTTCCTCAACTCTGTTCTAAAAGGCTGACCCTTAATTTTCAGACTGTGACCCCTGGTTAGAGATTTTCCTACCGGGGAAACAGTCCCTCTGTGTCTACTTTATCAGCCCTTTAAGAATCTTATATATTTCAATAAGATCCCCCCTAATTCTTCTGTACTCTGGAGAATACAGCCCCAGTTTATTCAGCCTATCCTCATAGGTCAGTCCCCTCATCCCAGGAACTAACCGAGTGAATCTACGCTGAACCCCCTCGAGGGCAAGTATGTCCTTTTTCAAATAAGGAGACCGGCTGAGCGGAGGGAGCGGGCGGGTTGGTAGGGGGTTAGGAGATCGCAGAGGCAGAGTGGGGCAAGGCCATGGAGGGCTTTGTAGGTGAGGACCAGAATCTTGAACGGGATCCTCTAAAGGATAGGGAGCCAATGGAGTGACTGTGCCTTGTTCAAAGTTTTGATGAAGGGCTATGATAATAATAATAATAATCCTTGCATTTGACGCAGTGTCTTATCACATTGAAATGTGTTAAAGTTATTATTAATTGCAGTGATTATATTTGTAGGTGAATACTGCAGCCAATTTGCATTCAATAATATCCCATACACAGCTGAGAGATGAACGAATAACCAATTTAACTGAAGGATTGTTGACCAGGACAGTGGGAGAAACTCCCTTTTTCAAATAGCGCTAATGGGATCTTTAACATCCACCTGAACAGGTAGACAGAACCTCAGTTTAATGTTTCATCCAAAGGACGGCACCTCCAACAATGTGGTGCTCCCCCAACACTGCATTGAAATGTCAGCCATCCAAGTTGTTCGGATCTGGAATGGACTGCTGGAAAGGGTGGTGGAAGCAAACTTGATAACAACTTTCAAGAGAGAAGAGGATAAATATTTGGGGAGGACAAATTTACAAGGCTATGGGGAGAGCGCGGGTGACTGTGATTAATTTGAACAGCTCTTTCAAAGAACTGGCATGGTCACGATGGACCGAATGGCCTCCTTTTGTGCTGTATAATTCTATGATTCTATGAACTCAAAATCCCCAACTTAGGATTTAAACCCACAATGTTTTGACCTCAAGATGAGATGCCACCAACTGAGCCAGTCTCACATCTGGTGAATCATAATTAATTCCACTGGATGGTGTATCAGTAACGAGAAGGCACCAAATTAAGATAATCACAAAGGGAATTAAAGGAGAGGATAGCAAACATTTCATTATCAGAGGGTGGTTGAAATATGGGACTCTCTGTCACCAACCATTGTTGAAGCATCAATTCTTTTAAACAGGATTTACTGTATTAATGCTTGAAAAGGAGGAAAGTTAAACAGTATGGAGAGGAGGGTAGTGTCATCCCACTCAGCTCCTGTTAACCCTGCAAGCCAAAGCCCTAACAGGTAGGGTGGTCCTTGCTGGACAAGTAGCGGGAATCTAGCCAGCCCTCTGATGAGTCAGGCAGGTCTGTAGTATTCAAAGACCTGCTGATGACAGCACAGCTCAGCCTGGTTCATCGTCAGGACCTGGAAGAGGAGACCAGTCACTGGGGGCAAGGAGTCATCCCACTCAGCTTGTATTAACCCTGCAAGCCAAAGCAGACCTAATGGGTAGAGTGGTCCTAGCTGGACAAGCAGCAGGAAAGCTTGCCAGACAATGATATCAATGGAAAATTATGTGGTTTTAGCTGGTTAGACTCCAGCAGTTACCCCAACGCGCACTCTGGGGTCCCCAAGCCTTGGCTCTTGCCAACCTGTTGCTAATACTCTCTGGATTTAGATAAGCAGGATGCTTCCCTCCAGGAAGAGAGAGCGCATTCCATTCCAACAACCTATCTCTGGGGTTTCCATGTGTAGGTGGGATGCATGGAATTCTCCACTTGGTTTGGATACTCTCAAGCACGGTGATGGGTTTCCGCAGTGTCAGATACCCGGCTGACCAAAAAAAAGTTAAGACTAACGTTGGCTCAAGAGAGCGAGATCCGATAGAGGTGATCAAAATGCCGTGGTGTTTTGATGCGTTAGTGTAGAGAGGACCTATTTCCACGGCTCGTGTGAGAAGCTAATTCGAGAGCTGCAATTTAAGATCATCAGCAAAAAAGCAGAGGGAGAGTTTAGCAGAATGGTTTCACACAGATGGTTATTGGCACACGGAACACCCAGCCAAACAGAATCCATAATCTTTTTTTCAAAAAAAAAGAATATATAAATATTTGTAAAACATACATGAGGGTGTGGGGTGGGGGGGGGGGGGGGTGGGGGAGGGAGGGAGCACTTGAACTAAATGGAAGCTTTCTCGGAGAGGAATCAAAATGGTCGAATGGGTTTCTCTGTACTGTTACACTATGTAATTCCAGGCTTAACATTTAGACCCTCGGCTGACAGTGTGCTTTTGGCACAGAGCTTTCACTGTGATGATTAGGAGGTTTGCTGGTCTGGCAACCATTGAAATAAAAATATTTTCTTAGTGACTGTACTGGCCGCCCTTTGCTAGGAAAGAAATTAAAATAATTGGGAACAAAAGCCATTTGTTCTGGCGCCTGCCTGGGCTTTGGGAGGCTGGAGCCTCGGGGACCTGTCCTAGGGGCCTTCACTCTCAGTCTGGAGAAATACTTGAGTTGGAATCAAAAGACATCAAGGCCCAAAATGGTTCCTTCTGTGCCGTAAACTCTGGAGGGAAAGACAACCACCTTGGTGGGGTCATCAGACTTAATAACAGGGAATGTTGCAGGCAATACGCAGAATGGCCTGCTAGATTGGGTGACAGATCCAGTTTAATGCAAATGATAATTATAATTTGATTCAGTGCCTTATCACGTCTTTGAGACATCTCAAAGCGCTTCACAGAATATACTATAAAGTGAATTGACTATATATTTTGTGAGTGAAACGTGGCAGCCGATTGCGCACAGCAGTGTCCGAAGGCCAACCAATCTGTGTAATTCCTTTGTCTCGCTCGTTCGCGCTCTCGCTCCCTCCCTCCCTTCAAGGCCCATCTCAAGATCCTCCTCTTCAAACCAGTCCTTCGGCCACTCTCCAACCCCCTACCCCCCCCACACACGCACATACACACACGCATTCGCCCACAAATATACAGTCAATTCATTTTACAGTGTGTTCTGTGAAGCACTTTGGGACGTCGAGAAGACGTGAAAAGCGCTATATCAAATGCAAGGGATTATTATTATTATTATAACTTGCATAGCGCCCTCCTCGTGTGGTAAAGTCCTGGAGCGCTTATACACATACACAGATAAACTTGCCCACACATCCTTTCATACATTTGTAGCTACATTTGATGAAGGTGTAGCTTGTAAAAACATTTGGTCTTAAGACTACACTGAACTATGGTAATTTACTCTTGATTTGGAAGCCGTTTTCTGCAGATGTTTGTTTTAAAAAAAAATCCAGTTTCCAAATGATACGTGAATTGAAGAATTTTCCACAATTCTTTCTGCCCCAATCTTCAACTCTGAGGCAATTTTTTTTTTAAATTACTTTTGGCTTGCAATTCAAAACCAAATTAAACCCCGTTTTAATAACGTTAAGATTTAAGGCGGTCTGAGGTGAGGTGGCTTTTTGGGGTCTCGGATTAACAATTAGTTGATTGGGGGAATCGCTTCCCGGCGGCAATAATCCCTTAGACAAAATGTGGTCACTCAATCCACGACTGTTTGTGGGACGCTGCTGTGCGCAATTGACTGCCGCGTTTCGCCCACAAATATACAGTCAATTCACTATACATTGTGTTCTGTGAAGCGCTTTGAGACGTCACGCTTCAATGACGTGATGAGGCGCTGTGTCAAACGCGAGGATAATATCGTAACATATTACATTACGTCACATTAGAATATATTACAACACAGCCTCAACACGTTTCTCCCCACCTCGTTCGGCTGGCGTGTGACAAACAGATGACAGTAGAGCTCGCTCGGAGGCCTGAAGGGGTTGCGAGTAACGAAGGCGAACTGGCAGTCTGACGGGCAGCAGGTGGTGTAGAGAATCCTCCTCAGGGCGTGAGCCATCAACACAGTCTGCGAAAAGCACACAACCAGAGCAGACCATTGAAAGAGGGGCAGGGGTTCCTGACTGATGGGCATTCAGAATTATGGGTGTCAGCCTGGCTCAGTGGTAGCACGCTCTCTCTCTCTCTCTCTCTCGCGCGCGCGTCTGAGTCAAAATGTTGTGGGTTTAAACCGCACGTCGGGACTTGGAATCATATAGTCTAAGCTGACTCACCAATGCAGCGCTGGAGTTGGTGTTGTTTCATCCCTCTGATGAGACATTAAACCGAGTTCCCTGTCTGCCTGTTCTGATGGACGTTAAAGATCCCGAGACACTATTCAAAAAGAGAAGGGAGATTCTCTCTCCCGGTGACCCGGCCAATAATCCCGCAGATAAAATTAGTCACTCAATCGACAACTGTTTGTGGGACACGGCTGTGTGCAATTGGCTGCCATGAAATACACAGTCAATTCTCTTTACAGTGCTTCTGTAAAGTGCTTTGAGACACCTCGACAACATGATAAGGCGCTATATCAAATGCAAAGATTATTATTATTATATCATTTTGAAACCATTTAATGACTATAATTAGTCTGTGGCCATAATAAGTGGGTATGAGTGTAGGAAAGTCACTGACAAATCTAACAGTTTAGGAGGAACTTCTTTACACACAGGGGATAGTGAGAATGTGCTACTCATTGCTAGCAGCGGTGCCTGAAGCAGAGAGCGTGAATGTATTTAAAGATGAAACTCGATAAATACATGATTAGAAAAGGGAATAGAGGGGTTTGGGGAGACTGGAGCTGGGAGAATGTTAATAATAATAACCCTCAGTTTTTTGCATAGCGCCTTATCACGTCGAGATGTCTCAAAACACTTCACAGGATACACTGTAAAGTTAATTTGAATGTTTATTTTGTGGGCGAAACGTGGCAGCCTGTTTGCGCACAGTAGTGTCCCACAAACAGCCATGGAGTGAGTGACCAATTTTATTGGGGATTTTTAGCCACTTGAACAGGCAGACGGGACAGGATCTCAGTTTAACAGCTCATCCGAAGGATGTTGTGAGATGGTCAATTAGAATTTTTGGGTGAATTTGAAAGAATAGAAAGAACTTGCATTTGTATAGCACCTGAAACATGGAACATCTAAAGAACGTCACAGTAGATACTTGGTTTGTGGAGAAAAGCGGCAGCCACAAATAGCCATGAGGTGAGTATCCGATTAATCAGGATTGTTGCCCAAGACATTGGGAGAAACTCCGTTCTCGTTCACAGTAACATCACAGGATGTGAACCTCATCTGTTGAAGAGCAGACAGACACCTCATAACACCTCATCTGAAGCACATGGTTCTGACAACACTGGGAGGAGCGTCAGCCAAGACAGTGAGCTCATAAAGTCCTGACATATGGCTTGAACTCAAACCTTTGTGACCCAAAGTCGAGAGGGCTACTGACTGAGGCAGGCTGACATTCTGACATCCAGCAATCAAACAAGTAGTTACTACAAATACAAAAGAGATGAGTTATGGACCTTTCCACATCTGTTCTCCATTATTGCATTCTTAGATCATAAAGAGAATGGTTTCCAGGAGCCGATGCTGTAATGTAAAGTCTAAGTAATCACTCCTGTGGTCTGGAGGCACTGCTGTTATTGGCCTGAGTTGTTATGGAACCCATGGTCGATATTAAAAAAGAAATGGGCGACGGTGGAAAGTGAGTAAATCAAGTGCAATTTATTCCTGTTTCAGATACGTCCAAAAACTCTCCACTGCTCCACACTCTTCAGCTCCGAGATCCTAAACCAGGAGTCCTGTTGCTTAATGGTTAGAGCAAGTGAGAGGATCTGGGATGGATTCCCAGCAGGGCAAGATACTGGGCAAGTTTCCTTACTCCACACGCTTCTGTTTACCCAGCAGTAAGTAGGAACCTGATTGTTAGTCGATTGGCGGATCGCTTTTCCGGGTTTAATAATCACTCCCCCAAAAAATAATAAATTGGTCACTCAAGCCACGACTGTTTGTGGGACGCTGCTGTGCGCAATTGGCCCAAACATATACAGTCAATTCACTTACAGTATATTCTGTGAAGCGCTTTGAGACGGTCTTGAAGACATGATAAGGCTCTATATCAAATACAAGGATTATTATTATAACAGTCTTCATCCCAGTTTCTGGGATCCTGTCGCTAAAACCCCCAAATTCTTCATCCTCTCAGCCTTGAGACTTGTCATCTTAAAAATGTAAGATCTAATTTCTGGAGCTTTTTTCTTCCATAGTTGGTTTTGAGAAATCTCTTCCAAATTACAAATAAAACCAGAAGTGGCTGGAACACTGAACAGATCGGGCAGCATCTATTGAGAGGGGAAAGTGAGTTAATGTTTCAGGTCGATGACCTTTCCCTGAAACGTTAACCCACTTTCCTCTCTCCATAGATGCTGCCAGACCTGTTGAGTGTTCTGCTTTTATTCCAGATTTCCAGCAACTACAGTATTTTGCCTTTTAAGCCTGGATTTGAGAGCTTCCCAACATTTCTGCTTTGCTTTCCATCAACCCCGAAAACCATCGCCAATTTGAAAGCAATAATCTTCCGGCCGATATGCTGAAGGGTTTTCCTCCCACTTCTCTGGAACAGAAATACAACAACAACAACAGAAACAGACGTGGCGGAGAAGGCCGGCTTTGTGAGCACAAGCAAGTCTTTCACATCAAATAATTTTTTAGTAAATACGCTCAGTTTTTCTCAATGTCATTGTTTCACTTGGTTGTCACTGTTCTGTTCCAACATTCCCCCATTCCCCCACTCCCAACCTCCACTATCCCCTCCCCACTTTTGTCCTCTCATTTCACCCACAAAATATACAGTCAATTCACAGTATACTCTGTGAAGTGCTTTGAGACATCTCAAAGGCCTGATAAGGCGCTATATAAAATCCAAGGATTCTTCATCTTATTATTAGTAGTGATTACAGGCAAAAAAAATCATAGCTCAGACACCCCTGGAGCAAGTTACTATGTCACCCTATGAATTATAGGAGCAGGATGTGCGCTGGAGTGGAGAGAGAGACCCTAAGTGCCAACTTTCCTCTCCTGGCAGGATGGCGTGCCAAGACCAGAGGTGGTCGCTGGCAAAATGGAGTCCTGTAGCTTAGTGGTTAGAGCACTCGGATCTCAAGTGAGAGGACCTGGGTTTGATTCCTGGGCAGGATAATATAACAATAACAATAATAATCCTTGCATTTCAGAATCCTTGGCCTTATCACGTCTTTGAGACGTCTCAATGCACTCCACAGACTATCCTGTAAAGTGAATTGACTGTATATTTTGTGGGAAAAACTCGGCAGCCAATTGTGTAGAGGAGTGTCCCACAAACAGGATTGAGTGACCAAATTATTATTATTTTCTTAAAGGAATTATTACCTCTGCAAAAGTGATCCGCCAAGTGATCTTCTGGTAAACAGAGGTGTGTGTTGTAAGGAAACTTGCCCAACAGTTCGTCCTGCCGGGAATCGAACCCATGTCTCTCACTTGCGAGGCGAGTGCTCTAACCACTGAGCTACAGGACTCCACTTTACTTCACTTTACAGTATATTCTGTGAAGTGCTTTGAGACGTCTTGAAGATGTGATTAGATGCTATATCAAAAAACTATTGTTATTATGATAATATTGATAATATTAATATTGATCAACATTAAAAGTATTCCCAGACACTCTGATGTCTCCTCCCTCGATCGCTTTAGTAGTACCTCATCCCCACCGTGGTCAGGGTGAATTGGTTTGTTTAATCCTGACTTTATGTGGTTCAGAGAGAGTCCCGTTTGATTCTCTGCCTGTCTGCCTGTCTGCCTGTCTCTACCTGACTGTTGCTCTTCCTGTCTGTTTAATGGAGGTGACGACCTTCAGATGAGACATTAAACTGAAGTCCCTTCTGTTTCTCTTCCTGTGTGTTTGCCTCTCTCCCTCTCTCTGTGCCTGCGTGAGGTTCTCTCTTTTGGATGCTGTTATTTTGTGATCAGCGGGAGCTGTGAGCACCCGACTCAGCGACAGCTGGAGCTCTCGCCCTGATCTCTGAACGTTGCAGTCTGGGAATGGGCACAATCTGCGCTGAGATTAATGCACAGCATTGCTCTCAGCATGACCGCTTTTACTAATGAAACACGTACTGGCGGAGTGCTCGGGTGGTACTAAAACACTCTGTGCCATGTGTGTCGACTCAGCAAAGTGACTGCTGGAAATTTCCCCCCTTGGAAAAACAGTATATTGGAGCAGATTGAAACCTCATTGCCATGACAGTTTAAGATTGTGCAGAATTATGGAAAATAATAATTGTTCCATTGCCAGCAATCAGTATAATCTGGCCTCAAGATTGTTGGCTCGGACTTTGGGAAAAATGCTCTTCTCTTTTCCAATAGTGTTACAGGATCTACACAGGCAGACTTAGATTTACAGACTGTACTGTAAAGTGAATTGACTGTATCTTTCACCTCCAAAATATACAGTCACTCCACTTCTATGAAGCACTTTGAGACATCTCAACGATGTGATAAGGTGCTATCTCGATTGGTGGATCGCTTTTCTAGGGGTAATAATCCCCTAAAAAAATAAAAGAACTTGGATAATAATTTGGTCACTCAATCCACGACTATTTGTGGGACACTGCTGTGAGTAATTGTCTGCCACGTTTCACCCACAAAATATACAGCCAATTCACTTTACAGTATATTCTATGAAACTCTTCGAGACGTCTCAAAGACGTGAAAAGTGCAATATCAAATGCAAGTATTATTATTATTAATTGACTATATTTTGTGGACGAAATGTGGCAACCAATTGCGCACAGCAGCGTCCGCCAAACGGTCGTGGATTGAGTGACCAAATTATTGTTATTTATTTATTTTGAAGGGATTATTAACCCTGGAAAAGCGATCCGCCAATCGACTAACAACCGGGTTCCTACTTACTGCTGGGTAAACAGAGGCGTGTGTGTGGAGTAAGAAAGCTTGCCTAATGTTTCTCCCTGCCGGGAAT